ATATAACCTACTCAATGTTATGTTATTTTATTTTCTAAGTAAGATTTGTTAGTAAACTATAAATATTATTATAGCAATTGCCCAATTAAACCCGAAATTAATACAATTAATATTACTAGCTCATGGAAGTATTAATAATTAAAACAAAGATTTGATATAATGATCATGTATTATACAAGTATATATACTCAATAAAAAACGTAGATCATCGATACTTTTGACTCGTGTCTTTTTGGTCATTTCGTCTTTTTTGCAGAAGATTCTGCCATTTCTTATACAGATATATCGGTATCCAAGTTCTTTTGCTTTTGATCTAGTCTCCCAAAGCAGTTTCCTGTTATGAGCTATTAGCTGTTAAGATTTCATTAACATATTTTATTCTTGATCCTTTGAATTCAATTTTCCCTCATTTCCTAATAAATTCTTCTATTTTTTTAAAAGTAAATTCTATGATTTTTTGAGGTGTTTAAAAGTTAAGATTTGATAATTTTTGGTATGCATTTTCAATACCAACAAGATTAATATTTACGTTTATAATTCCTGCAATGTCATTAACTATTGTTTCAACATTTTTTTATGTTCCTTTTTTACACAGCTTATTTCTACTAGATACGCTCTTTCATTTTGTTCTAATATGTTGATATTTATTTCTAGATTTTGTATAGTGCCGTCTTTTTCTTTTAAAGTTTTTTCGAGTTCTAATATCTGGTTACTTAAGATTAAGAAAGTATCATAAGTAGTTACTTGGTTTTTAATAAGTTTGTCTAATATAGTGGTTATAGCTCTGGTATCTAAATCACTGTTCGTATAAATATTTGCTTCACCTTTTGTTTGTGATATATTTTTGATAGGTGTACCTCTGCCTTGTTAAAGATTTTTTGTGCAGTCTTCACAATTGAATGCCAACCATATTCCTTTCAAAAAGTCTAAGAATTCAGCATTTGTGTTAGAGCATTTTATATGTAATACATTGAATACTGACCTCATTTAGGGAAACCACCACATAGCATTACGAACACGATGTCATACTTGGACAAATAATTAACAAAACAAGACTTAGCACAATGAACAACCAAACTGAACTGAACATGCTAGGTACGTATATCTTATACATTAGCCAATTTCTTATATAAATAATTTCTATAGGCAGGTATGTTCTCTTTTAACTAAAAAAAATGTGTACCTAGTTATACATAATAATGTAGAATTGATTTACCATTTTTGACCATAATATCTAAAATACTTGATAAATGTAAAAAAAAAAATAGAAAATATTAATTTTTATATACCATAGGTAACAACAATTTATTTTCAAAAAATCAATGTGGATTTTTAAATGTTCATCTAATGATGTATAATTTTTTATTATTGTAATTTATGATAAATTAGAGTGTAACTTCAAAGTTCTAGGATTATTTTTAGATATAAAAAAAAACATTTTACAGTGTAAACCATAATATAGGTAGGTACCTACTATTAAGATGCATTATTATATTGGTTAAAGATGCAAAATGTATTAAAATCCTACTTAACTAATAGAATGCAAAGGTAGAATAAATAATTCTGTAAGTGCAGCACTAAAAATTATACATGGTTCCTCGAGGTACTGTTCTTGGACCTCTTTTGTTTATTATATAGGTAAAGGCGTACAACTGAATCTTGGTATTAATACTGAAATAATTTGTTAAGATGATGATACTATGATAAAATTGTAGTTTCATTGTTTACAAATGATAATAATTGTATTATATATATTGACATTGGTTTGTAAACAACCTATTAGAACTAATCTAATCCAAATATATTTACTTGAGTTAATCAATTATTAACAGTTCAGAATTAAAAATACGAGCGTATTAATTTAAATGTCAACATAATTATTATAGTAATTGTATAATTTTAGAAAATACAAATTATATTAAATATTTAGGCCACAAATTAAATTGTAAATTTAAATGGAACTGTCGTGCAACAATAAAGTATTATTTATTTATCTTGATGTATTCCCTCAGTTTTTTTATGTTTTGATATGCGTCGAATATTTAACTTTAAACATAATTTCTAGTCAACTTGTCAACTATTAGTTAGGTATAGTATGCATAAATATAAATATATACATTAAATTTTAACACCAAAACTCTACATTCAGGGTTGCAAATAAAAAAAATTGGTAATATCCAACCTAAAAAACTATTTGAAGACTTGAATGTCCTCAATATAGAGCTCCTATACCTAAAAACTATCACTATACATCTGAAGAACCATAATCAGTTGGATTCTATAAGCCATGGGGTCAACACCAGATATGCAGCTAGTAATTTTTTCTCTAGACAGGCTCACAAAAACTAGCTGCTGAAAAGTTTTCTGTGGACCACAATACTTAACTTAATGCCCAGTGATATGGCCAGTAAGTCTGTACCCATTTTCAAAAAAAAAATTTCCCGCTGGTTCCAATATGAATATGATGTGTCTATAACTTAATATTTGTATGTAACATACTAAATAATGCTGTTACTGAAATTATTTGTATGAGTTATTTATGAAAAACTACTTATTTATCTTCACATAAAAATGCTCCTATATCAATAAGAATTATTTAGTAAACTAAGATAACTCTGGGCCTCCACACGAGTTTTTCTCAGTGAGGCACAGCAATTTTTTGATATTAATTTAAATAAAAAATAAAATATTAAGAATGCTTGATTATTCTTTTATAAATTTAAAAATAATGTAGCCAATGTTTCTCGCATACGTAACACACATTTCAAATCATTCTATTTCAGTGCCAATTCAACTATGCAAAATACTTGAAACCAGAATCTAAAATGTTGATCATATAAATGAGCTAAAATTGCATACAAAAATTAATTCATGATGTGTATAAATAATGTAGTTTGATAATTTTTTTAATTAGTAATAATAACAACACTATAGAAACCAAATTATGTATTAAAAACAGTTGTAAGATTATACTACATTTTGATTTTGTAGTAACTTCATAGTTCTATTATTTTGTTGTATTATTAAAATCACCACGTTCATCCTTTCCAATTTGATTTTGAAATAACATGTTCATGTCAATGTATGTTATCGTTAGCTCATTGTTAATATACGAAACATTATAGACAATAAACATATTGTAAAACTATACGACTATTTATTATTGCAGACGCTTTTACAGGTTTGTAAAGTAACATTCTTTTTTTAATGACACCTAAAACGGTGATGTGTGTTCAAAATAAATGTATAAAATATTTTTGAATAGCATAGAAAATTGTTATTACTTAAGATGCATTTTAAGTACACCATTACATTGTTCAATGAAGCTTTGAGTTCCAGAAAGAAATTTGTATCCTGTTGAAATATTCCTCTGCTTAATCCTTGCAGAATGTGCTATTGTGTTCTAGCAGTATAAGAGTTTTTTTTTAATGTTTTAATTTAACTAGTTATAGTTTTTTCACACTTTCCTTACCAAATCTTGCAACCAAATAAAAATTTGAGTAAAAATACTTTAAAAGCATAATTTAAATTTAAATTACACATCATTATATTAATTATGGATGGATATGCATTATTTGTCTATTTTCACGAGTGTATCATACATGCATAGACAGGTGTAGGTCGAGGGAGGCTAACTTTTTTCATACTGTGACAAATTCATAAAATAACAAATAGAGATGTGCTATAAAAAATTAAAAAAATGTTTATTATATAAATTCCTTAAATTTCTTAAATTCAAATTCTTAATACATTTTCTTATATTTAATTTAAATTTAAATAGTATTAAATACATTAAAATAATTAAGTTTAAATTGATAACAGTTTTTTTAAATAATTGAAAAAAACTCTATAGTCATAAAATGCACTTAAATTATATTTTTATAACAATATAAAAAATTGTTTTTTTCTTATAAATGAGAATGTTTTATACTTTGTAAACTACTATAGGTTAGGTAAGGTAAATCCTATTTATTGAAAACAATTTAAATGAGTAGGTATGCATATCAAATTATATGTTATTCTATTAGATGTGAATGTGATATACAATAATATTAAATGCCCGTCAGGTTGGCCACCTCTGACATAGATATATTTAAATTGTATTTACAGTAGAGTCCCGCTAATCCAGACAATCTATATTTCTTACTTTAGTATTCATGAATGATGTTTATGTTTGGGAATACCCATGATTAAGATATTATCGTTTTGATTACATATGTATTATTTTTTCAAGTGAGTTCAGTCTATTTTCTTTAAATTTGTATTGATGCGTGTACATAATATGTAATACATGCATCATTAAAAATAACAATAATAATGTGCAATGTAAAATTGTAAATCAATAAAAATTGAATTTGTATAAATACATAAAGTGTTTTATGTATTTTATTAGTAAGTTAAAAAAAACATCATTCTGTTTAACCTGGATTTTTGATAATTCGGATCGAGCCCAGTCCAATCTAGTCCGGATTAGCGAGACTCTACTGTAATTGTATACACAATTTAAACTGTAGATGAATGCACTTGGAATTCAAAAATGTTAATCTGTTTGAATTTTGAAAACACTTGCCTTTGCCTTCCCTGTGTTGATATTTGAATCACTGTTCAATTATTACATTAAAGTAGTCATTAGTTCCAATCAAGTTATTTTGGACGGTCTTGAAGTATGTTTTCTTCATAGGATATAGAATCAGGGAAAATTAATTTCATATTGTACTAACAGTTTGTGTTTGTTATACTTATTATAAAAATATTTTTGATTTTGTTATAGGTAAATAGTTTATTTTAAAGTTGATAAATGAAAATTAATCATAATAAAATTCTTTGTAAAAATAAAGTTACAAGTTCAATAGTTGATTTTGACATCATATACTTATCATATATATGTCCAAAGTTATTAATAATATTTAGATGTCTAATTAATAAATAATAAATAGTAAGAATTGAAAATTTATTATTTTAATATAAATTATATAAATTATTGAGTTTACATTTAAACACTAAGTTTTATTTATGAATATTCTTTTTAATAAAAATTATTTAAATAGTAGGTAAGTACTAATATTTCCAATACTTTCAATATTTAATAGACTTATTGAGACGAGACTACTTCTTCAAGCAGCTATATTATTACATACTAATACAAATTAAAGCACATTATACCTGATGGCTTATAAAAGAAAGATCAAATGTAATACTGACACAATAGTAACATTCAGTCTTAAAATTGTAATTTTTTTGAGATTTTTTTTGGTTTTTAAACATTTGTTTCAAGTACTATTTATACAACGATTAATTATAATAATCGCTATACCGTTATTCTTGTTTTTGAGTTTATCTGGTATCTTAGCTCTTAGATTTTTTGCTCATTTCATTTTTAAAACCTAGCTTCCTTTTAGCATGATTTTTTGTTTTGTCTTCAATTTCTAACTTTTTGGGCATATATATAAGTTTTGTAATCTTTCCTTTTCTTATAATTTCTTCATTTTTCACATTTTTATCTTGTAACTCTAGTTTTATAAACGGCTTAATGTCTTCTTGTAATATCTCTGAACCTGATTGTTGTAGATCAATAATGGGATGAGTTAAATTTTCTTCTGTTTTTCTCACATTTTTATCTTGTAATTCTTGTTTTATAAACGCTTTAATGTCTTCTTGTGATATCTCTGAACCTGATTGTTGTAGATCAATAATGAGATGAGTTAAACTTCCTTCTGTTTTTTTCACATTTTTATCTTGTAATTCTTGTTTTATAAACGGTTTAATGTCTTCTTGTGATATCTCTGAAGCTGATTGTTGTAGATCAATAATGGGATAAGTTAAATTTCCTTCTGTTTTTCTCACATTTTTATCTTGTAATTCTTGTTTTATAAACGGTTTAATGTCTTCTTGTGATATCTCTGAAGCTGATTGTTGTAGATCAATAATGGGATAAGTTAAATTTCCTTCTGTTTTTCTCACATTTTTATCTTGTAATTCTTGTTTTATAAACGGTTTAATGTCCTCTTGTGATATCTCTGAAGCTGATTGTTGTAAATCAATAATGTGACGAGTTAAGCTTCCTTCTGTTGTCACATGAGGAGTAATGTCAATATTATTCACTGGTTCTTCAGTCATGCTATTATTTGGCTCTCTTATTACATAATCTATTGATTCTTCATCATCATTATCAATTAACCTATCGTCAGTATCTGCAAAAACTGCTGGCATAAATTCATCTCGTTTTAAAGGCCAAATTCCTGATAAAGAAAATCCGTTAATAATGTTTTGAGGCGTAGCAGCACTAACTAATGCACTTGCACTAGATGATACTAAAGGCACATCATGTGTTCTTAATGCCATCTCTGGATTATTTTGTAACCAGACTGCCATATTTTCTTTCAAAAATTGACTAAATGGTGTAAACACAGATGTGTTCAATGGTTGAAGTTTGTGGAAACAGTTAGGTGGGAATGATAATAATAAAATGCCTGCTTCCCTGCAAAAATCAATCACTGGTAAATACAAGTGAGATACATGATTGTCAAGTAGAATAAGAACTTTATTATCAACTGAAGGTCTGACATATTTGGCAAATGTCTTCAAAAGCTTCAAGAACTCAACTCCTTGCACACAATTTAAATTATTAGCAGTCTTAGAAATTGTATACATGGGAGGAATAACGTTGCCTGCTGCATTTATAGCTAAGCACATGGTAATTGAGCTACTTTTGCCACTTTTGATTGCTTTAATATTAAGTTTATTTCCTCGAGATGCCACTATTTTTCTTGTCTTTTGAAAATATGTAATCTTTATTTCATCCATGTTGTAAACATCATGTGCTTGAAATTTGTATTTTAATAAAATTGACTCATATTTATCCATAAAATGTTTGAAGTTTGCTGGGTTGAAATGATTAGCTCTTGATATCTTAGTCACTTTTGCGAGATAGCTGGACACTGATGGGTTTCTTTTTAAATAGTCTGTAATCCAATCAGGACCTGCTTCTTTATTGTGTTTCCAACTTTTTGGTACTGTTAAATCAAGTTTGACTGCGAATTCATAAGCTAGTTGTCGAATATTTCTATTATTTAAACCAAAATACATATCTGCGGAAATTTTCACGTAGTCTGCAAGTTGTTTTTCTTGAAAGTCGTCAAATATTTTATTATATGGTTGGTAACCGAATGCTGGAAGACAACTACCTGTTTCCCTATGAAGTTTAAATTTTTTTAGGTACCTGTTTAAAGTCACATGGTTAATATTGAATTTTGCAGCTACAGCTCTTTCTGACATATTAAGATTGTCCAAACATAGTTGTGCTGCTTTTTGCATTGTGCTCTCCGATGTAGTACCTCTATTTGTGGTTTTTTCGCGATTACGAGGCATCTTGTCAACTATAGTAAGAGAAAAAATAAGTAAAATATGTAAATTAAAATAATTGCAACAAATTATAGTAATATTAAGCAATGTAATAAGTATATTCTATAACAATATTGATCCATACATTTTTTTAAATGATAAAATGATAAACTCACCTGAAAACTTTTTTGTTGATGAATAATAGTCTCAAGCAATATGGTAAAAAAATGTAAACAAACATTGACGGTTAAAAAAAATTATAAAAAAAATATTCATCCGTCAATATCAATTGTTCCTTGTTTATTTCGTAAGATATTTTACAAACGTAACTGATAACAAGAACAAGACACAACAAAGAAAACAAGAAAAAAAGCGGGGAATAGAAGCCCGGGAAAAATTATCCTTGATTTGTTATTTCAACACAGAAAAATTATAGTCAGACCAAAATGATAAATTTAGGTATGCATGAGCATACTCTACACTTCCTCAAATGTTCTACTTAGAATATCCTTTGTATTAAAAATAAAGTAGGTATGTATTTATAATACCCAATAACTTCTCTAATATTCTACCAAAAAGTATTACACTTTTGAACCCGATCTTAACAGCAAACATGAATACGAATCTTTCGATAGAAATTGAAAAATATTTAACAGTCTCTAAATTAGGCGTTAGGTAGGTACCTATACTGTGAATATCTAATTAATGTATTATTACATTTTATTATGTAGTGAAAACATATTACCTAATCCTAATTGAATTAAATCAAATAAAACTATAGTGAAAACTGAAAACGGATAAAGTGAAAAATCAATAATCATAGAAAATAGAATACAAAATTAATCGCTTAAGTGTGTACTATGTGTAGCGGTATTGAGGGACTGCATTAATTAGCATTAGAATTATTATGTAATAAAAGTATAATAAACGGTAGGCGCCCACCAACATTCCTTCATATTGTGTAGGTATGGTAATTTTGTACTCGTAGTCTATACAGACTATAGGTAGGACTGGTGGAACACTGTCCATGAGGGACTTAACGACCGAGGAAGTACTTAACCAAATGCCTAAATTATAAATTATTGTTTACACGCATCAGCTCCAGCCTGTTAACGCATGATATATGTGATAAACTGATAACTATAAATCTGAAATACGGAGAGTTTTGAAAACGATACGTAATAATTACCTAAGTAGTTACTGCTATATTATTTTCAATTGATCAGGCATATTTATTGATTTTGCTTTTGTACATTCGAAAGACTGTTCGATTGCTTCGAACACATTAATTGCAAGTTCAAATCATACAACAGTTTATTTGAACATCGATCCTATGTTGTTGCTACCCGCCTAGGGATAAATCAAAAATGAGTAGTTTTCGATTTAAAAATCCTGGTAAGTTTTCTATTTATTATTTAGTTGCTCTGATTTCAACATGAGGTTTACTATTTTGGTTAGCTAAATGTAGAGTTGCGTTTTTGTGAAAAACCATAATTCCCTGTTTTCCATTATCGTTATCTCAATTTTAAGATTTAGCTGATTAATTTTCAACAATAAAAAACTAATCACTGCATGAATATCAAATGTAGACAACTTGAAAATAGCAGCAGCCATAATTATTAATTAATTACTAATGAAATCACTGTTCAAGTAGAATTTGTGACTAGTAACTTGAAAGAAAAGCTTAAACAGTATTGTGGAACAATTTGAGTAGGAAATTTCTTTGTAATTGTAGTGGTGCAGCCTACAGATTGTGGCGTACAAGATGAAAGATGACAAGGTGTAAATAATTCCTAAGTTCATTTTGAATATTATGAATATAGACTTTATTTGACATGTATAACTGATAGAATATTTTATAACACTGAAATTTATCAGAGAGTCGACTGGCGCAAAGGTGCTTGTTCTGGCTCTAGTAAATCACGTTTGAATATCGGGTGGCTGGGTCCCTATTTTATAGGCCTAATCTACACTCCTCTTCTATGGATAAGATAGCTCTGACCCCGTTTACTATTGCACGTGTGCGTACAAGTTCCAGGAAACGGTCCCTTCCTACGCGGTTGTCGATGTCGATATCTTGTATTATATTATTTAATGGATATTTATTATAATAGAACAATATTATATTACATTCATTATAATTTGATACGCGGCAATGTTTCTAGTTTTTTTATCTCCATATGTCTTTCGCAACGCAATTTCGTTTGTCGAGTTCTCAGAATTACTCACACAATGACTTTAGTTATTATCCTAATTATGTCAAGGCGCTTTCCCGGATTCAATCACATTCTAGTGTGAACAATCTCATGTGTTCCCCTGCCGATCTTAAGTATTTACGTATATGGTGGGACGTCAGTACATAGCACAATCCAATGCTGCTTACTTTTTAATTGTTTCTCTTATTATTAATTTGTGTTCATTTTTATATTAACATTTTTTATTACAGATGAAAAACCAGGATATGGAGAAGAAGATTCCAACTTCGAATCTGCTATATCTTCCTCATTTGTTTATAATCCATACATGTCATTGGATTTACAAAGCCAAAGAAATAAATTACCTATAACCAAATATCGAAATGAAGTTTTGTATCTTTGTGAAAAGTTTCAAACATTAATATTAGTCGGATCTACAGGAAGTGGAAAAAGTACTCAGGTGTCTCAAGTATGTTTAATTTTATTTACTCAAATAAACAAATATATAATTTTTACTCTAATGTTTGGATATCATATTTTTAAAACAATCATAAATTTGTACTAATTGTTGATTTATTTAATAAAATTAAAAATAATAATAATCATTTTATAATATAATTTCTTTTACTAAAAACTCTTTCTTAGTTACTGTATTCTTTTTTCAAATACCTTTTTTTAAAAGAATTCATTTCATGAATTATGTAATTAATGTTAGTTTTTTTCCGTATTTTATCAATATAAAATTATTTACAGATGCTTTTAGATAGTGGATTATGTCAATGTGACAAATCAATTGTAATTACTGAGCCCCGGAAAATAAGTGCCATAACATTAGCTACTCGAGTAGCACAAGAACAAAAAACTAATCTGGGTCAACTAGTAGGCTATTCAGTTAGATTTGATAACTGTAGTCAACCAAGTACAAAAATTAAAGTAAGTTTTTCATGTCTTATGATATTAATTATATTTTGCTTACATATTAACACAAATTATTTTATGAATAGTATATCACTGAAGGTATTCTTTTGAATGAGATGATGAGCAATCCTTTATTAGTTAATTATTCTGTTATAATATTAGATGAAATACATGAAAGAAGTTTGATGACTGATATTTTAATGGGACTAATTAAAAAAGTTTTGAAAGTTTGTATACATTTAAATCTAATTTTTTAATTGTAATTATTTATTATTTTGCTATACACATTTGTTTAAATATTAATTTCAGAAACGACCAACTTTAAGACTCATAATACTATCAGCCACTTTGGATTCTTCACAACTTAAATCGTATTTTAATTTAAATCAAAGCAATGACCCTGCTAATGATACTGCAACTGTTTTGGGTATTGAAGGAAGATCCTACCCTACAAAAATCTATTATATAAAAGGTGATATTTTTGAACATATAACATTCTATTTTGGTACCTGATAAATTGTAATAAATTGGTTTTTTTTTAGACCCAACACCAAATTATATAGATGAATCAATTAATACAGTATTGAAAATTCAACAAGGTGGCTCACCAGGTGATATTTTGGTGTTTTTAACAGGGAAAGAAGAAATCATGCAAGCAGTTAACACATTGGATGATTACAATATTAAGAATGCTAATGAAAAGTACTTATATATTTTAACTTATTATTAAGAAAACGCTACCCATGCGTTTGTTGTCTCTATCTTAAAAATGTATAACATAGCAAATTTTCTTTTACTAGTTTCAATAGTGTGTTCTTAGTTTTGATATTAAAGTGAATTGACCTATGATCTAACTTTTAGGTAAGAACATTATCTGTGTTTAAGATTCAGAAATTGTATTCCCTTTTTTAATTTTCTAGAGGTATATAAGCATTTTTAGTTGGTGTTATTTCACATACCTATATCTTGCGTGGAAATTAAAATATCGATAAAATCGCAGACACTTCAGTAAAGATAATGTTCTTACCTAAAAGTTTGATAATAAGTGAATATAATGCTCCAATATCAAAACTAACAATACACTATTGAAACTAATGAAAGAAAATTTGATAAGTTGTTCATGTGTAAGACACAGACAACAAATGCATGTGTAGCGACCTCTTATTATATTTACCTTAGTTATTTATAACTTTATTAGTATTTTAATTTTAATATTTAAGAATTTTAAATTTACTATTCTTATTAGAAAAGTTTTTACATTTGAAATAAATTTTTACTTATTTTTAAAATTATTGTTGGGTATAAATTATTTGAAACATAATATATTTTTTATTTTAAGTATAATATAACTATTAATAACGATTTCTAAGTCCACATATCATTTTGTTTTTGTTATTTCATTTCTGTTTGATTAGGTTAAATTAAAAAGGTACATAAGTGTTGTTAATGTTATTCTAATTCTAATGAGAAATATTACTCCTACAAACCAAAATACATGAATTATTGATTGGTTAGTTAATACTCGGTTAATTATATATATAAAAAAACGTGATCTTCTTAGTCAAAGTGATCGAGTTAATTTTTCTATACTTTAGATGTTAGGTCAGTTGAGAAATAATGCCTAATACTGAAGCTCCAAATTTTTAACAACATTTTATGTTTACCAAACCATTAATAAGTAAATTATTATTTATTAAATATAGGCTCTTATCAAATGTTATTAATTTGCATTTGTTCATTTAGTTATACTTCTATTTCTTTAAACTATACTCACATATTATATTTATAAGTTATAACTAATAACTGAGTTTGAAATAGTCCTATATTCAAATTATGTTTTTTTGTATTTTAATCTTTAATATTTTTTTATTTTTCACAGAATTAAACTTCTTCCTATTCCTATGCACGGTACCTTAACTAATGACGAACAACTCAAAGCCTTTCGTCCAGCACCTAGAGGATACAGAAAAGTAGTTTTTTCAACTAATGTTGCAGAGACATCGGTTACAATTTCTGGAATTGTTTATGGTAAATTCAACATTTTAAATATATCAAAAATATTGTGCAATTATAGTGTATAGGTATAAGTGTATAAATATATAATATAATAGTATAAACTTATCCAATCAAACCAGTTCTGAAAAATCTTCTTAGAAGATAATTAAATTTAACAAATATAAATTAAGTAATAAGAAGTTATTGATATATAAATTTAAATAAATATTTACAATTTAAAAAAAGATTTCTTGGAAAACTATAGAATAAGTTAGATGTATGTATTTAAGGTAGATTAATATAATACATTAGTCCATAATAATTTTTATATAATCCTGAAGAATTTAAATTCATTTTATTGAATTTTAAATATACTCAAGACCATATTTTCAAATTTTGCCCTCATTAGAAAAACATAATTTTGTGTCTCCACGGGATACTCTTTAAGTAGTACAAAAATATTATAGGAATTTAAAATTAAAATGGTCTAATTGTATTTAAAAATGTTAAACATCAGTTTTCGAATAACTGCATTATTAAAAAATAAAAAAGGGGTAGGCACTGCTATGCTTGGTAAATAATACCTTGTATACACATGAGACATGAATGCCATTAACTCTCTTAATTAGGTCATAACTTCCCCATATTAAATATTATTGAAAATGATATTTATTTTCTTCGAATTCATTATTATTAGACCAAAATTATGTAATTTTATCTTTGAATTGATGGATGGTAATAATTTATATGTAAATTTAAATAAATTGAAAGTTTTAGGTTATTACCTAAAAATATTTATTGAAAGTCTAAACATTCCTATAGTTTAATTTATTGTTGAGTTTGTAATATACATAAATTATGCATGATACTCTGACACTCTGTACAATTTATAAGTTGCATATCATCATATTTTTATATTTATTGAGGAAGTACCTACTGCCATTGTAACACTATTGTTATGTTTTGTTATATTACAGCAATGATAAATCAAATTTAAATATTTATGTAATTATTATTATCACTAACTTCACTAATGTCTTGTATTTATAGTTATTGATTGTGGATTTGTTAAACTAAAGTGGTTTAATTCTAAGTTTGGTGCTGATTCATTAATAACTGTTCCTATATCAAAAGCTTCAGCAGTTCAAAGAGCTGGCCGTGCAGGAAGAGAACGACCTGGTAAAGTATATAGGTACATGACAATTTATAATATTTAAACAGTAAATGCTATCTCATATTAATTTTCTTATATACATTACTTTTTAGATTATACACTAAAGAAGCCTATCAAAATTTGATAAACGCCACTCCTCCGGAAATGATGAGATCTGATTTAACTGATGTAACTTTGCAGCTTAAAGGCATTTATATTAATAATGTTTTAAGATTTCCTTTCCTAAGTCCACCCCCAGCTAAAAATCTTCTATATGCTATGGAAATGTTAAAAGCTTTAGAAGCAATTGACAACATTGGGAATCTAACAGATTCATTTGGAACTATTATGGCTGAATTACCATTACCAGCAAAACATTCAAGAATATTATTGAAGTCTGCTGAAATGGGTTGTTCTTCAGAAATTATATCTATATTAGCTATGCTTCAACTTCAAGATGCATTTGTACGTCCAAAGTATGGAGCTACAATACAAAAAGCTAAAATACAACATAGGAATTTTGAAGTTGCCGAGGGAGATTTACTTACTTTATTAAATATTTACAATGGATTTGAAAAAAATCAATATAGTCAACCATGGTGTCATCGATTTTTTATAAATTATAATGGATTATGCAAAGCACGTAAAATCCGTTCACATTTAATAGATTTAATGAGGACATCAAAAATTCCACTTAAATCTTGTAAAGGTGAATGTATTTTTTTTAAACAAATTTTTATAATAATAAATAATTTTTTTTTTATGTTATAGGAAATACACGAATTATTATAAAGAGCATTGCATCCGGACTTTTTAAAAATGCTGCTTATTTACATTATACTGGAGTATATAGATCAGTTGGTCTTGATGAAGATCTTTATTTTCATCCTAAGTCTGTTCTGAATTATGTAAATCAACCACAATGGTAAACTATATGTCATGTTTTATTTTAGAAAATTGTTTAAATTTACATTTAAAGAGAATACACATTACAAAAAATAGGTTGAAACTTGTAGTAGGCATGTCAAATTGTTACATGGTTTGTACAGATAAAAATAATTTCGCTGTTCAATATATGGAATATTGTGAAAATGTCTTTGTGATATCATTATTCAGTATTCTATAATTTCTTTATTCTATTATTAGATTGTCTATTTAAACTAGTTAACTTTTTGTTAATGTTAAATGTTTATTCTCACATCAATGTTCTAAAAAAGCATTTTAACTTCAGTATTACTGAAATGAGTTCTGTTTATTATAATGGGTAATAACTAATAAGTAATAACTCATATACTCTTAAGTACAATTATTTAGTTAAATTAAAAACCAAGCGTTACAATATTACTTATTCATAAGTACTTACTATTTTCTTTTAATCATAACATTAAATTGTATAGTTGAAATATTTAATAGTGACGTCCTTACAAATAGTATCAATAGATATATATTGACTATTATTAATTTTTGTTTTAATCATCAAATGAGTGTTTTGAAGCAAGCAGATATTTAACTTATGATGTGCTTATACAATATTAAATCAAATAAAAATTAAGATTTTTATGAAACCTAAAATATAATATACTTAGAGTTTATATTTTAAACCATATTTAAGTATTATTAGTATTCTAATCTATTTAGCTTATAATCATAATATCATTTCTGAAGTATTTTTTCAGTTATGCAAATAAAATAATTATTAATTATGTGTTTTTTTTTTTTTAGGGTCCTGTATGATGAACTTCTGGAAACTACAAAAACTTACATAAAAAATTTAGTTGAAATAACACCATCGTTATTATTAGAAGTAGCTCCTCATTATTTTTCTACGCCAACATTATAAAATAGAATATTATTTGATAATAGTGACATTTTTATTAGTTAATAGGTAAATTTAAGTAATTTAAATTAAATATTTTCTTTAACTATATCAATTTTGTGAATATATATCATGTTTATTAATTATAATAACAAATGATTTAAAATTATACATTTTATATGGTTTATTAGTATGATTTTTATGATAAAATGTATTTTTTCTAATTAATTTACATTATTTTCTTTTAACTTTTAAGTATTATTACTACTTTAAGATTTTATTAGACATTAGAGTATTAATATTGAGATTTTAACAGACTGAATATAAAGACTACATGAATTTTAGTTGACACACATATTTGTTAACTGATCTTTTAAATAAAATGCCCGAAAAATAAAAAACTAATCATTTATTTGTTTAAATTTATACCATTAACTTAAGATAAAACTAACAATTAACTGAAAATATCATGATATCATAATATGTTTAGTTTTAACGATTGATGGATTATCTGGTTCTTACAAATCAAATGATGTATTCTATACTTTAAAATTATAAACTGGATTAGGTCATGCACTGAATATTGGCAAATTGTACACAAAGTACTCATATGACTATAGTTTTTGTTTAATTATGATAACAATTTGGTTACTCTGTAATTCTGCAATATTTTTCACATAAAGTTGTTCATAATGGATTTTGTAATTATCAATTACTTAAATTTTAAATTTTAAATTATTTAATATGAATTATTCATAATAATTTGTTGAAATTGTCTATTTATAACTCATTGAAATTGGTTGACTAATAGTAATTTAAGAACTAAATGTATTGCTTGATATTGGTGGGTATATACTATTAAGTTGTAATTAGTTAGGTAGGTAATATTATATGGTTTTTATGTAGTGTAAAACTTTGAACTAATAATAAATTAATGTTGACCATTTAAAATAATTGACATAATTTAGATCAATGGATCTAAAGGGAAACAATGCATGTATTAATTTTACTAAGATGTTTGTTATTTTTAATTTATTCTTTTATTATTTGTATCTTATCAACTTTTGGGGCAGTAAAAATTTGATCTTGTACCTTGTTGAGGTCAAAAGTAAAAAATGTTAAATAATTTTCTTAATCGTTGCGAAAAACAAAAAAAAATATATTAAGGAAAAAAGGGAATTCTTACATGTATTCAACAAAAACTTTTCCTCTATTATACTTATTCTATCTATTATCATAAAGTATAATGTCTATAAAGCCTGAACACTATTTTGAATCTGTTGTGCAGATTTACATATTATACATAACAATTCTTATGTATTAAATTACATTTTATGGTAAGTTTAAGTGATCTCAGAATAATTTACACAGAGTAAAAATTGTTGTGATTTTACAATGGTAGACAGACTGAAAATAAAACAACATTTTTCAAATGCTATACATTTGAAAATCACATTTATTTTATACAACCTACATACACATGTTGTTACAAATGTAATGTACAATATTAAACATTGCAATATAGTTCACGAAAAAATGAATTTGTTGGGCAAATTATTTTTCCATACTGTCGACGCTTATTATGTCCTTAGTAATATTGTTAGGCGATGTGTCTACGTCACACATACTGTTTGAATCACTTTTTACTGAAAAAGTGTCATTAAACATGTCTGTTGCTGAACTGTTTTGACTAAAATTGTTCCCTGAATTTGGTTCAGCCATTGTTTTACTGCTTTCAGCTGTTGATAATACACTGTTCGAATGAGGTTCATTTGATTGAAGTGGCTGAAAAATAAATTTTTATTTTACTCATAGTTTTCGCAATAACTTATCACAAAATATAAAGGTTTCAAGTAAACAATTGTGAAATATAAAAAAAGTAGTTAAATCCTAAAGATTACATGCCGTTACATATGTGAAGAAAAATATGAAAATCGAGGTAGTTTTAAGCTAAAAGGTTAATCAAAATCTTATAAAATGTACTGTCCATCTTTCCTGACAATAGCACAAGCTTTAAATTGCCAATAAATAGAATGACTTACCATTGGTGCCAACTTAGAAGCTATTTGAGTAGAAGATTTTCGTTTTTTAGTAGGATTTGGAGTATTTCTTTGGGGACTGATAGACTGTTTACTAGTTCCACTAGAAAAATTGTTAGCTGGTAAGTCTTTTCGCCTACAATACATATAAATAAATTAGAAACGTTCCCTGACATTGTTTTTAATTTATAAAATATTGATTTATTGAAAATGTATTATACATTTATACCTAAAAATACTTATTTTATTTTTTGACTAGAAAAATACATAAAGCAACTTAATTTTAATTTTTAAAAGTTAAGTAAAAATGTGAAGATTTTATTTCCAAGTTATAATTGTTATAACTAAATGGGTCACTAAATATTGATTTGTTATCTCTCACTATACCAAAATTACATTTCTTAAAACTAAAATGAACTTTGGGTCAATATTAGAGTTGATTTAATCATATCTGCAATCCTCCCAAAATTCCAACAAAGAAAATAGTGCTTAAGTATTACCTAACTCTTGAGCCACATATTGGGCAGCTACTCTTCTAAAGACCAAATTTAAATTACTACACATCATAAAGATTATTATACAAAAATGTTATACATAGATTGATTATTTCCATACCAAAAAATACGAATAAGGTATCAAATGTATAGATGAGTAAATTATCTTTGTTATATTGTTGAGTGTTTTTTTCTATATTTTAATATTTAAAAGCTGAACACATTCATAATAAAAAATTATTCAAATATCCACTGTGCTCTAAAATTAAAAACTAATGCTACAACATAGATATTAGCATGCAGTACTCATTTATAAATTTCATATTAACTCTTAATGTACACCACCAAACAATAGTGTTGGTTTAATGGTCTAGTTCAGCGGTTCCCAACCCATGGGCCGCGGCCCACTTGTGGGCCTCGAGCAGCTTGGTACTGGGCCGTGAACCATATAAATATATAATTTTTAATATTACATATTATAAAATTTCTGGTTATAATATATTTATCAATATTATCTACACTCTGCAGTGTCAGATTGGTGTCAAATTATTAATTAATGCTAAATATAGGAATCAACTGAATGTTGAAAGTGATTTAATTGTAAAACCATTCAATTTTCATCCCGATATTGACTCTCTCATGAAGGACAAGCAATATCAAAAATCACATTAAATTGTTTAGATTGTGGTGAAGTTTAATAAAATGTTTTTCATGATAAACAGTCGATTTTTTAATTATTTTTGGTTCTAACAACTGACGTTTTTATATACATATATATTATATATATATATTTATGCATTTGTATATATAGGTGAGCTATTTGTGGGCCTCAAAGTTCTTGTTTACAAAATTGGTGGTCTACACAGCTAAAAAGGTTGGGAACCGCTGGTCTAGTTTTATTACTTTAAGGTTGATAAAAATAAAATAGCTAATATTTTTAAAATGTTTGATAGAAATACTGATGACTGATAAGTAAGATTATTCTTTTATTATAAAGTATTATAATAGATTTTCCTATAACCTATTTCATTTGGAATCTTAAATGTATTTTAATTATGTTTATTTATAGTCTGGCGATAACTATAAGAATGACTATTGACTCATGATCAGAAATTAAAATATACACCTTGTACAAACATATCATACTTTGTTAGGTATCAAACAATCATCTGTACTTTTCTAAACATAGTGTATTATTGTACATCATTCTATACAATCAAACAGTATAGGTAGTGGAAGAAAAGTGGATTAGTTACTTCTTTTTAGGTTCTAGTTTGATAGAATCGTCTTAGTCCGATGACTCAGTCAGTTCATCATCGCTACTACTGAGATCTACGGTTTCATACATTATCAGTCTATCCAGTAGAACACTTTTATCTCGTGACGCCTTCAGGAGTTTCCGCTGGGCACTATTCAGGGTCTCTTGAAACATTTCGTTTTCCTTAAACACAAAATTAAACAAATGAATAAATTAGTTAACAGAAAGGACATGATAGTCTAAGACACTCACATAGACCAAAAGTTTCAATTTTCTTTTCATTTCTTTGTATTTTTTCTTGAAATTGGCTTCCCCATTGGCAGCCATTATAGGGATCTCCGAACCCTATGCAGCAACAATAAAAATAACATTAATACGACGATTAACACACAGTATTCAACATAAAAAATATTAAAATGTATACAACTTTACCATTTCTAAAACAATAATAAATAAAAATTAATAATTATTAAAAAATAATAAACAAATCGTTATCTGTGCGTTATCAACAGGTAACAATGTGACGGTGTAGTGTGGGTGTAGTCTCTCGGCGTCGAAAAGTATGTCGTTATTTGACGGCATTTAGGACGAGCATGTCCGCCAGGAGCGCTAAGAATGTCGATTTTTCAAAAAAATACTGTACAGCGGTATACTCATTTAAACTTTAGGCCCCAATAGGCAATATGGTTTACTTTTCGAGAATTTTTTTTTTGAAATGATAGTAATTGTATGCCAATGTTTTAATGAATTTATTTTATTTTATTACCTATTTTACTTACTTTTTTTTAAAAAAAAACTACAAAAACCTTCTATTAAGTCATTCTTCGATTATTATCAATAAAAAAAAGTGAGGAAGATAAGTAAATTCTGATTTCACCAACACTTTGATCTTAAAAACAAAAATAAATCTTGATAAGAAAATCCCAAAAAAAGTAAATTCTTAGTATTTTAAGCTCAAAAATCGAAGATTTCTAAGTTTTTTAATGTATCTAACTATAGACTATGATCGAATAGGCTTTAGACATTTTACGTCATTAATATCAACAAGATGTCCATATTCCATAACTGTTTAGTGTTTACTTATTAGTTATTAACTTTATTATTTACCTTCTATTTTTAATTTTTTTCTTATTCTATAGAAAGTACTAAGTAGCAACAAGCACCCTGCCTCTCAACAGCTAGCATCTTTATCGAGTTTAGTGTCAAAAACTCAAAAGTAAGCTTAGTAATAAATATCGGGTGATTATTAATATTAATAGTTTGTATAAACACCTTTTACCGATTCTATAATTTGCCGATCTTTGTGTAACAACTCCAAACTTCACGATTGCTAAAATATTTTGCGAATAAATTGTGATATTTCTGTGACGACTGATGGATAGGAAGTATTGATACAACTTTCGTATTGATACTTGAAACTTAACAGTTTTATAGGAGTGTTGAGTTGTAAAATATTTAGGTTGTATTTGTTTTAAGCTATAAAGATCTACTTTGTATAAAGTTTCAAGTGTATATTGTTTGTACGAAATATATTAAAATACTCATAACTCGCTTTAAAATTAAAATATAATACAATTCCTAAAAGATGACATGTAATAATTTTACCTTTAAATTTTACAAAATGTCAATTTACTCTTATTTTTAATTTAACGAACCTAAAGGTAATCTTCTGGGAGTAAAATATGGTATGTTACGCACTAGTGAGACGAAGACAATAAATGTCGGTGTAACGTCATCTTCAGAACATTACTTATATCTCTACGTGGCTATGTTGGTTCTTTAATTATAATTAAATATTTTTTAAGTTATGAGAGTGTAAATTATTACAATTTAAAAATGTTTATAAATGATGTAAAAATTAAAATATCTTAAAAAAGCTAACGTAGAAACACAGGTAATGTTCTTAACTTAAAGTTTGATAAAAGGCGCATACCGAATTCACTAATATTAACTAATATTAAAAGTAACAACACAGTGTTGGTTCTTTTATGATTTCAAATCGTTTTTTTTACTCTTGTTCATTTGAACTTTGATTTTGACTTGCGAAATATAAAATCCTCCAATATTATAATAGTGAGAGATTTGTATAAATATTCGGACTCAATGGCTTGAATATACCATAGTTAAAAAGTGGACCACTAATATTTCGACTGCATGCGAATCTGCACTGAACATTCCATTTTAAGGGGCATGTATAGACAAACAAAATGCATGCAGTCGTAATATTTTGTATACCTATAATAATTCTACAAAAACCTATAACTGTGAAAAAAAGAGTCTAGGTCGTTCATGTAAATACTGAATACTGTGCGACGTCCATATCACGTTATTGTACGTTTCACGAAGTTGAATCACGGTTTCTCACAATATGGATTATATTTTGCGAAATGGATACTTAAACTGTAATCAAAAATTGCTAGCACTAATAATTATTATTTATTAGCTACTTCAGATTGCTTTCAAGAGGACTTAAAGATAAGAAGTTCAGTATCCATTTGAATTTTATATCAGGAACTGGCTTCAAATCTACGAGGTCCATATTGTGTAGTTACGTGAAGTGGAGAAACGGTAGTTCCATTTCATGAAACGTACAATAACACGCCAACACGGTATGGATGAGACATACACTGATAATTCTTGAACTCGGCTGACGCGCTGCCGCACACTCAAAGAAAACATTTATTTCAAAATATATAATTTATTTCAAGACTTTTAAGACGAGAAATAAAACTATTTTTCAGTCATTTTAAAGTATAGTTTTGTTATTAATAATATTTGTAGGGACTTGAAACTTTTTGCCATGACATTCTCAATGCGTCTATTAGGAATCTATACACTATATGTCCATATATTATAGTGACCGCTGGGCATTTCAGGCTATCCCCCCTACCCCAACCCAATGACTAGGTATAGGTACGCTCAACACCAACAACCTACTATTCAATATACTATGGACAGACTTCTTCAGTTTTTATTTCATTAATTCACTGGCAAAATAATTTTTTTATTTTTGAAAAAATTGCCGATTTTAGTAGGTGATGGAAAAAAGTATTAAGAATTATTAATGGCTAATTTGACTCATAAAAACTTGATGTACGATATCTACATTTTTTGATAGGTAACTATAGATATAGGACAAATAGGTATATAACCGCAATAATAGTACCTATATTATAGGTATTCCAAAATATTTAAACCAATATGCATACGTTCCAAAGGTAACGAACTAAATATATAGGATAGATGATGAGACTATAGATATAGTTACAACCTATATATATATATAATTTTTGTAATTAGATACTGAAGGACGTGAGTATTGTGTTGATTTTTGTTTTATTCTAAAACAAAAAATGTATTTGTTTTTATTATTCAGTTGTCTGTATATAAACATCATGTTATATTAACACTTGTATTGGACATTAGATTATTCTTCTGTCCAAGGTGACATCTTTCATATTATTTAACTTAACCACCCAAGCAATAAGTGCACTTCCAACAGTAAATTGTATTTTTGATAATATATTTTATGGGTATGCTTGATACGTTATAAGACTGGAACCCGATTACATTCAACATAGGTATATTTTATAGTATAGTATAATAATAATACAATATTATAATGTTTATTATTTCAATACTATTTTGTTGTACCTACGCCTATATTATAACATCGAAATGTTTTATTTTATTATTATTTGTACACCAGCGTTAAAATCTCCTTTTTCATGTTTTACAGCTCTAGAGTTTCTGTTATTAGGTCTAGGTCGGTAGGTATCTAATGCACAAGCAAAAATCGCTTAGATACATTGTTATCATAGTAACTCTTAAAAAATACTTTCTGGACTATACAGTAAGCATAAAAAACAAAAATCCATTTTTAATAAATATGTATTAATATGTAAATAGTAGTTTGACATTTCTGAACTACTTATATTATAGAATATGCTTACTTCACAATCTATTGTCCGAGTCTTCAAAATAATTCGAATTTAGTATTTGCATCACACTATTTTATTTTGATAATTAACAACTCATAAATAATAAGAAAAAAGTTATAATTTATTTTTTGTTTTTCAATAAGCGCATACCTATATAGTAAAAGTATACAACCAAAAGCGTACCTATACAGTTACAGTAACTACTTACCTATATAAAAAAAACCAAAAATATATATACTTATAAGACTAACAATATTGAAGGCCTCAGACAGCATATCATTGTTTCCAATGTTTTTTATTAATTAATAATCTAGGTAGGTATGAATACCATGTATACTCATTAATATTAACTTGATGTGACTTTTTATAACCCATCTAGTTATAACTTAGGACTTAGGTAGTCACACACACGCACTATATAACAATGAGTAACGAGAGAAAAATAGGTGCATGCTTGCAGTAAGATACATATTTGACTACTTATATGGCTATATCTATTGCTTACTCCTTGTGTGGAATACGTCAGTATTAAATATTTTGGACACCACTGTCTGCTGCAGCGTTATTGTATTGAAACGAGGAGTAGGTATGTACATACAATATGATATACCTAAATATATAATATGGCTACACCTACCAACGCATAATACCCGAGGTCGTCAATCGCGGGTAGAGCCGATTTTCGTAATATTTTCACTGTCGTCCTCCGTAATATAATAGACTTAAGAATAATATTATTATGCAATGCCGTTGTGTGCGTGTGTGACTGGCGGCTGTCGCGGTTTAACCACTTCCAAATAAGGAGTAAGTAGGCGAATCGACTGATGTCACGTATGTGCGCATGTTGTACGCCTGTATAAATAATATTGTGTGTAGGAACTATATAACTATATATAAGTCTATACTGTGTAGTGTACTTGTGTGTGTACTACCTACCTATATTGTAACAGCTATAATGCTATATTATTATGTGATATTATAATATTATGTATTGTACTTATATTTATATATATATATATATATACCAATAGCCTATACCATTATATTATATTATACAGATGCTGCAGGTGTCTATTTTTTACGGTAATAAAGCCACAAAGATAAGTAGGTATACCGTTTTTTTAGGTACCTAAGTTTTTAGTTGTTCTTAAAGTGCGGATTTGTATGAACTACAAAAATCACAAATAAAAATGCATTTAAACACGAAAAAAACTCAAAATGTTTAATTTTTTAGATATAAGTATACAAAAACATTTCTAAAACTGAATACATAAATTGATCAACAATTCAAAAGGATAAATACATTTTTGATCATAGACATTAACTTGAAAGTTTAAATAAAATACATTCATGTAGATTAAAATAAACATATTTTCAAAATAATTTTCTCATGAACAAGTTTATAATAATCAATTTTCTTATTTGATTTGGAAAATTATTCTTTACATAAAAAATAATTTGAGGCATTAAACGACAATTATTTTTCTTTCAATGAATATGCTTAAACATAGGCTGGCATTTGTTTGAATTTGTAGGGGGCTAGAATAATCCAATAATAATAAGGCATTTGTGCCAAATACAATAGCACCATACGTCCTGTAATTGATTGGGCGCCTACCCATAATATTATAATATGTTCTTTCAAATCAAATTTTTGTTTTTCTGCATCCGTCGAAAGATTTGAAGTGTTTAAACACTGACCACATATTAGAGATTAGAGTTGGGCATTTCGGTGTGTGTCTTACGTACCTATACGCGCATATTTTCCAAAGTACCTAAGTCGGTTGGTATACTGTTTGCAGCACTGAGACGGCACAGGTAATACCCAGGTACTTATACCTACCTACGCGGTAACGGGTCGACGGTCGTAATCGTTATAATAGTACAATATTATAAACTGTACTGTAGGTACGTAATAATCATAAACAATAATAATGACATGGACGTGTTGCGGGGGCGAAAACCGTCGGCGGCGGCGCTACCGCCACGCACCGCCACAGCAAACACCTGTCGACCTATCCGGTTGTCTCCGGCGGCGAAGACGGAAGAGTGGGAACAACGGTGCAAGTCGTGACTATAATAATATATTGTATATTATTATTTATTTTATACTGCCTACGTATACGTGTCGTCATTCGTGTGTGACTCCCATCCACCCACCCGCCCACCCAGCAGCCGTGTGCCGCGTTCGTACGGGTCAGAACCAGTCGGAGCGAATTGCGCAACGCCGGAACCTTTCACTGGCGACGACGACGACGACGACTCGACGTTCCGCCGCCGCACGAAAAGCAACAAATTCCGTCTCACGTCGCGGACGCGCTTTGTCCGCTGCAGTTGTCGCCGTTCGTCATCGTCGCTGTTGTTGTCGTTGAGCCGTATAACAGCGTCGCTCGTCGGATTCCGCCATTTTCCCATTCGGCGGACACCGTTGACGGCCACTGCCAACCCCGTGAGTACTACTTACCTTACTTAGATTACACTTTTGTGTCCGCTCTTCTCATTTTTGCCGTCATCCCAGTGTCGGCAAAAAACCGGATATCCGCGGCAACGGCCACAGGTGGTTGAGAGGACATCACATCCGCCTGTGATGTCTCCGTCTTACGAACGTACACCATATTCGGTAGATAGGCAGCAAATTCCAGTTCAGCGAAACCATTGTGTATGGTCACTTGTTAGCTTTTATATCAGTGTTTATTGACCTGGTGTCGGATGTAAAGGGCGTGTAAAATATTACACTTTAAAAATGCTCAATGCTCATAATTCAATAAAAAATTCAAATATTATTAACACTCGTATCGTGCAGACACAGATAGTGTTCTTAACTTTATATATGATACTCAAGTATTAGTCAATCCTCTTGAATAGTTAACAGCTCGAAATTGGCTATAATGTATGCTTCTTAGACAGAGACAACACCGGTGGATGAGACATCCTTTCAATTCATATGTATTTAAATATTAAGGTATACGCATATAACTTCCTCGGAGGTTGTTAGTACAGGTATGTTGCACTACTCAAGGAATGTGTTGGCTATAGCTTTCGTGACCCTTAACCAGATCTACGTATTATTACATTTTCATGATTTAATAACATTGAAGAATTTATGCTTAGTGTCTGTAAACACAGCTATGCATATGTCATGCTATGTCATGTTTTGTTAACATAACAAAAAAATGTACCTACCTAATTAACAAGAAATAAGTATAAAAATAAAAAATTCTTGTGGAATAGGGACAGTTTAACAATTTAGGACAGTCAAATTCTTCTGGTCTTCTCCAGTTCAAAACTGAAAAGTTGAGCCTTGGTTAGGTCAAGGTACCAGTCATGTTCTTGAAATGAAACTTAAATAGTTACTTGCTGAAAATTTGTGTGCTAACCATCAATTACATTATTATAACAATAAAAAGTCATTTTAGTTCAAAGTAATAAGTCAAACACGATTAGCCTTCCTTTTTAGGTCTAAACAGGTACATGGCATGATTGATACATTTATCATAGTCGTCATAGTGATTAACAAATAATAAGCTAGGTATTTTTGGTATAGATAACAGCCAGCAGTATACCTCTTAAGTATACCACCAAAGAAACCAAATATTAGACAGGTGTTCCTAGACTATAACTTTTTTTGATCTTTACCTAAAATTAATTCAGTCTATTTTATTTTTTTCAGGGAATTACCATGGCTAATAAATGCTTTCTTTTGTGTGCAGTAAGTATTTATAACTAAAAATAAACACTTATGTTCAAGGCCAGTATCAAAGAGTATAGCTCTATAGTCGTAAAGATAATCTAATGCTGACCTATTATAACAACCATTTAATTTAATTTAAAATAAAAATATTTTTTTTATCAATGTTATAGAGATTAACCAGTTATTTAATAATATGTAGGTAATGATTAAATTTAAAAAGTTAGATTCCTTACACCTTTACATTGCATTCTTATTCATTTCTATTCCATGGTTGCTTAGTCAAAATTTACTAAACCTATATGATTAGCAATACAATTTTGTAGGTAAATAAACTTAAAACTTCATCATCGAATAATCACTTTCATGTTCTATACAATCACATAATTTGAATGTATTTTCATTGAAAACAAATTTAATTTACAAAGATTTTTGGGTATTTGCTTAATATTGTAATTGAATAAATGTAATATTTTATAAATTGTTTTAATTACTTTAGTTGGCATTATGCTGTGTTCAAGCTGACCATCTGATGTCTAACGATGCTTTATCAGGTATATATTATTTAAAATAAATTTTAGAAAACTCGTTTATTATTATTTATGTTTATCATATATTAGTTACTGTTTATGTAAATGTATAACAATACTTTTTATAACACTTCTATTAGTCTTAAAAAAATATTTTTTTTTAGTATCTATTTTTTATAGCTAAGCATGTACTGAAGTTTAAAACTATAATTATTTTTAAAAACACTGTTCATATAGATATTTCTAATTTGGAAAACTATTAATTTGTTTTGTTTTGTCATTAACACAGATCTGAACGATATGTCTAAAGATATTACCATAGAATGTAATAATAAAGAAATAAGTGTAACCATTGATACAAAGTCTAAATCATTCACTGGAATAATTTACCCGAAGGGCTTATCTAAAAATTCAAGTTGTATGGCCGAATTTAATTATGAAAAGAGTCCTGTGGTTTATAAACTTCCATTAAGATCATGTAACACAATGAGTACATACCTAGTAAGTATATGTGAATATACTCGTGCCGCTGAGAAAGCACTTCTGGGCAGCAACTAAAACTCATCTAACCTTGCGCATTCCCATCCCTAAACCTGCTGGGTAGGTGGTAGAGTTGGAGAAATTTGGGTGAAAAAACGCGGAGCTTGGTCATTTGGATGCGCTAGCGAATTGCGCTTTCTCAGTGTCACAAGTATAGTATCAAACTACACAACAGGGGTTACCAATATAAATTTTCCGTGGGCCACATTAAGAATTCGAAAAATTTTCGTGGGCCATAATAATGTAGAGTACATAATATTTATTATAATATGCCGATTGGCCAAAACTAATGTACAAAGATAAGAAATTCTTTCTCCTTGTCTGCAGGCTGGTTAAAATTCATCCACGGGCTGGATGTGGCCCGCGGGCCAACAACTGGTGATCCCTGCTATACAATATTAAGTGTATACATAGATTTTAACATGTATTACTAATAACAAAAATATTTTTTAGAATGATGGTTTAGTAGAATACTTCAATACAATAGTTTTACAACCTCATAGAAAATTGGTGACAAATCAGGGTAAAGGCTTTCATATTCGTTGTAAATATCAAACAAATGATCAGCTTTTAACTAATGTGTTAAATATGAGGTAAGTTTTCTTATAATTTGTACTGCTTTGTATTATTTTAGAAAATACTTTTAATTTTATTTATAGTATGCAGTTTATACAATTAATATTATACATTACTATTAAGTATATATTGTATAATATTATAATATTATATTTGTATAGTAATATAATATTATAATCCAATCATAATATCAAGTAATTTTACATAAATAATATGTCTGATTGAAGTCTTTTATTGATTAGTTGTTGATTTTTAAAAATGCTAAAATAGCTAATACCATAGTATTTTAATTTGTAATAAATAAATTTAATTATAATTTACCTATATACATTAATTAATATTACAATAATGATTTATATAATTTATAGCACAAGTGATGAAGCAGCAATGATTGAAACAGCCAAGATGCCAACATGTACAATGAAAATTTTCTCTGGAAAAACTGTAAAGCAGGACGTAGCAGAAAATGTGAAAATTGGAGATCCTTTGACGATGGTCATATCAATAAATAGCGAGGACACTTTTGGATTGTTTATTACCGACTGTTTAGTTCGTGATGGTTTGGGTTGGGGCGATCAGCGTCTTATTGATAAATCCGGGTATGCACAATTCATATGAAATTAAAAAAAATATATTAATATACAACTGAAAACTTAAAAATGATAAAATTGAAATTACCTATTCTCATTAAGTGTACAATATGTGAAACTTGATATGAGATACCAAACATTTTTTTATCTATTTAAATTAATAAATTGTAATAATTTATGTTAGATGTTCAATTGAAGATGATATAATGGGACAATTCCAATATAGTGCTAACAAAACAACTGCAGTGGTTAACTTTCAAGCCCATAAGTTTCCTTATACTACCTCTGTATATTATCAATGTCATGTTCATTTATGTTTGAAAGCAAATGGAGGCTGTGCAAATACGGTAACTTTTTAAAAATAATATTGCAATTACATGTTTTTAATTTATTTATATTTCAGCCGCCAAATTGTAGCAATAGAAAACGCTTTCGGCGTGAAGACCAAACAATTGAGGATGAAAGTCCAGCTACAATAGAAGTATATAGCGGCCTTTATGTAAACGAAGGAGTAGATTCAGGTAATCCTGAACAGATGGACCAAGTAGCACGAGAAAAAGTATGTTATATTGTATTAATTGTCTAATTTAAAATTTTGTAAAAAAATGTTTACCAAAACAATTTACTATTTAATATTACAATACATTTTAGATATAATATGTGATTTTAAACAAAATTTTTGAATTACCTCTTGTAATAAGTATTCAAAGGATACATATTATATTAATTAATTTCATGTTACATTTTGAGATGCTATAATGCCTATGGATAATTTTTTGTAGTAAACGTCTTGTTCCACACTTCTAAAAATCATAACTCATTTTGATCCAAACCAGATTAAATAGTTATTAATGCATTTTAGAAATAATTTAATCTTTGTATAGGTATAACATTTTTTAAAAGTTACAATAGATAAGTAATCTTATATGGAAAAAAATTTAAGTGAAAAAAATATGTGTTATAAATGGATACAGGGCAGTTGCTCATGATTATTTCATTAAAAGATAGTTCATCAAAATAATTTGCGAAGTTCTTTATATTATATTAATGTGTTAAATAAACAAATGTCTACATGTATAACAAGTTATACCCCTGAGGCCTTGGTGTGTTTTTGATATCCTGTATGTAAGGTTGATAAGAAAAATAGTCTATTGTAAAGGTATTTTATAACAATAATTATTATTATAATTTGTTACAGATTTTGGATGATCCTTACAATATTTGCATTTCTCAGCGTAATTTTGCTATAAGTATTGCTATAGCCGGACTTATCCTTATGCTTTTAACAGTAATAACAGCTTTGATATTGTTGATGAGAAGACATAAAAAGTCAGTTTCTTCAAGTGGAAGTTCTGTGTACAGCGGGCCTTACACAAATACAGCATTTAGTCATACTAGTTAAATATCAACAATTAAGATTCTATGGTGCTCTTTTATTAACATGTAACAAAATTTATTTTTATTTTATATCCAAAACTTTATATTTATAATATGTAAGAAATATCAAAGGTTATGAGATTTATTGAAGTAATTTTATACTGCTATTATAGTATACACTTATTTTTAGTAATTAAGTATTTTTTATTAAATGAAATTTAATTTGAATCGCGGACATATATTAAGAAGTCCTTCACTCTTCTGAAAAATGTGTTTTCAGTAATAGGCAGTGTGTTATTTAGCTATAAACTGCTCATGTGGTCTAATTATCAGACTTATTAATGAATAACATTTAAGAAAGTAAACAATAGTATGAATATATTGTTATTAATGTTTTTTAACTGTTTTATTAGATGATCCAGCCATGTTGCTTGCAAAAGATTGTATACTTTTATGATAGTTACTATTTATATATATATTTTTAGATAAATATAATTTGTCTCGAGTTCCTTCTTTATATTTTGTCAGTTCTAAATTTAGTTTTTATGTCATGAAATAGTAAAAATGTATAAATCGTATTTTATATTTATATAACATCTATTATATAAATGGTTTAGAGTCATCTATGGAATTAATATATGTCCCTGATTTAAATATTTTATTAATATTTATATTACTTTATATTAGGTATACAATTAAAATATTTAAGAATTATATTATATTAATGATGTTATATTATAATCAATGAAGTGTAAAAGTATTATTATTTTTATTAAATTAAATTATATCTTGATGTATTTAATATTGCTGTATTATTTTGATAATTGACTAGATACTATGAAAAAGACAACGAGTGTTGAGAAAAGTTTTATTACCAAATTTGGAAGCAGTACCAACATAAAAAGAAAACATAAAATTTGTATATTTATTATTTACCTTATACCATCAATTTAATGTTGTAAAAATGAAGTTGTTTTTGTGGTAGTTGATGTTTTATAATGAAGACATCTATGTTTAAATTAGCTGCTTAACAATATTTTCTCAGTAACTTTGTACACAATTGTATGTTTTCAAGAAATGGAAAAAACCTAAACTTTTTGTTTTCCATAGTTTTAATATTGATGCTATTGGTAACCTTACAATGTATCAAAATGACGCTTTCTTTGATAATCTTTATAATGGGGATTTATATTTACGTTTTTATTCACTTGGACTTGTCTTGCGAATTATTTTACAAGCTTTATTTTCACTATTCTCAGGCTGTGTTATGTACATATACATTGCTTTATCATATATTTTGTATGACAAAAATTAGCCAAATGGGAGGGGGAGGATATATGACAGCCTCGTCGTCACCGTAAGCACACTTCTGATAAGATCGCTAACAAATCCTAAACAAACTTATATAACTTATCATGTTAATTCACTTACTCTGCTAGCGAGTATCAACTATTTATACTTCTCGTCAACCGAGAAATTTCACTCCCTTTATCATACATACAACCTATATCATTCTTCTCTACACCATTTGATGCAGCAAGACCCGGATTTGATAATGATGCATTTTAGAAATAAATATCCTGTTATTTAAGATATTTTACTTTTTTTTTTTTATTGGTTTGGGTATTAAAACCCTGTTTGAATAAAATAAAACAAAAATAACTTTCAAAACACGATCATGTATTAGAGAAGTTTTTTTTTACAAATACTTAAAAGCAATTTTACCTCTAATAAAAAAAACATAAAAGCTAAATTTAAGTTTACATTTCATATATTAATACTTCACAGCTGTTTGTCCAGTATTATTATTCATCACTTGTACTTGTCCCATGGATTGGACCCAGGTTGACCAATATTTATTTTAAACTTGGCTTTAATTTGACTAGTTCCAATTCAATGTTAATTTAAAACTGGTATTATATAAATAAAATAATATTATGATCATAAATTACAATGTCAGATCGTTGTGCTCTCCTTTGTTATGTATATATATATACACACACACATTATACATATTATATTTACAAAGAAATAAAGAATAATTTACTCTAAGTATAAACCAGATCAAATGTTCGAGAGAATATCCATTACATTATTTGGAAGCATTGTCTCCAAACGATCAAGACAATAGTTTACTGGTACTATAATCCACATGCATATCTACAAAAATTAATGACATTTGTTATACAATTTTTATAGATTCCTTAAGTGATTAGAATTTTAAACTTAAATTTGTATTGAATATTGCAAATATTAACTTACAATATAAACAAGATTTCCTGTGAACTGTGGATGGAGATATATCAGCAGAGCGAGTAATGCTGAAAAGGAACTTAGTCCAGCCGTAAAATGAATAAAGAATGGCAAATCCTTTTTTGGAAAAACGCTTACTTTATGATAAGCTAAATAAACAAAAATACATAAATAATACTAGAAACATAAAATAAACAAACATTATATTGAATGAATTACTTGGCAGTAGCTCTCTGTCGGCCAATTCAGTACATGTGGGATAGGGATGGAACAAATATCCTTTTTCTAAAGGGTAGGGAATTTGGTTAAATGCACTTTCCCATGTTACACTAAGCACGGCCAATGCTCCTTTTACCCGTTTCCAGTGTGCTAAGTGAAAAAATGCGTACGCCACAGCTTCCGAATCTCCTCTTTTTAGTATGTGTTCAGGAGGGAAAATGTATGATTTCATTTCCAGTAAATACTAAAAAAAAAAAAATACTATACAATCATAGAAGAAATACAATTACGTTACATTGGCTTATAAGAAACTAATCATGGGTTCAAAATGTTAAAACATTTAAAACTATCAACTTATTGAAAAAGTTTTTATCACTGAAAAATTGATTAGTCTAAACTGTGAATGTCTGTATTAGGTAATTATTATACTAATTTGAATGATGTTATTTTGGAACAAACAAATTTGTTAAGTATTTAAATAGATGTGAAGATTTTTTTTTAAATAAATAATAGTAGTGGCATGCCCAGCGGGTAGGCACGGACCTACACTGTTTTTAAATAGTTGCTATTACAATTTTTTGCATCATTAAATGTACCTAAATTTAAATAATTATAACTGGGCTGGTTCTTCATTTTGGCCCTGGGCACACTTCTGAATAATAGTAATATTTGAAATATAAAGATACAAAATTACTAAAATAATGCATAGATCTTTAAAATTTAAATATAATAATTTATGGTAACTAATAAGTCAGAGTTGTGTACATGGGAAATAAGATGACAACAGTAATATTTTATACATTTTAACATTTATAATCAATAACATTGAAATAATTATTTAGTTTCTTTTAATATACTTTTGGAACATGTGGATTAAATTCCACAGCTCGATGAATAGCTTCAAGTGCCACTTCTTCTGCTTGGGTAAGTCCTTTTTTCAATGTATTTCCTACATTATATCTGCAAATCAAATTTCTATTGTCTTAGAAGTAAATTTTAAAATAAATTATAACATATAGGCAAATTAAATGCAATACAATACTAAATACAAAAAATAAAGTTCATGCGTAGTTAACATTTTATGTTTATGATTATGAAAATGATTAATTATTTAGATTAAATGTTTTAGCAACTATTTAACACCCAATATTTTTTTTAACATCTTTAATTTTTAGTGATTTGTACAATTTTAATTGAAAATCTGATGATGTGTGTGAGGTTCATTTGTAAATATTTATTTGGTTTATAATTAAATAGAATACTAGGAATTCAACAAAGAAGTTACTTCAAAAAAATATCAACATCCCTCATGTGAATCCTTATATTATATTTGATTAACATAACACTAAGAAGTTTGTTGCTAACAATGTAATAAATGTTATTAGTTTTCATTAATCATTCTGATTATTGTAAAATGAACATTATGGTTTTTAAATAATATGAATTATGATTCTAAATTATCATTTATACAAAAAAAAAAATATATAATTCATACCTCATTGGTATCAATTAACAACTAATAAATATGATTTATAAATTCATGTTAAATACTAGAAACATATTCTTTCTTATCTTTTTTAAAAATATTATCAACTAAAACATTTCTACTCAGCACTACTAAGAAAATGCAACAACATTAGATATTCAAATTGTAGTTTATGAATATCTCAAGTATATTTACAGCAGTACAAGCTTATTTAACTAATTATCAATATCAAACAAAAGGCAAATATACATGCAAGGACTTGAATAAACCTGAAATTGTCTATGCAAAGAACATATTAATATAATCATATCAATAATAAATTTACTTGTCAGCGATAACACGGATTTTTAACAATGCAGAAGTATAACAGATGACCGCCGATTTAGGTAGATTTATATCATCGTATTTGGCTAGTACCGATTGTACATCGGCATATGACTGCGTTTCTAATAGTACTTCTATTAAGTTTTCGTGAACATTAAGTATGTTCATAATCGGAGGCATTTCCTTGCTTAACTGTTAATAATAAATCCTTTCATAAATATAGGTACACACTAACACCCCACACACATACTACATACATACAAGATTCATTATTTATATGAATTCATTAGGACATTATGATGAAGAGAAAGTTCCATATTAATTAAAAAATCAATAATAAATACATTGTAAGCTATAAATAAATCATAACTTTCCTTCAGCCATTAATACAGTGCACAAAAATTAATAAAACAATTTATCTAATAGGTACAACACGAAACATTATTAAATTTATTCTTAGTAACTTTATTAAACCCATGAAATGTTTCAATTGAATATTAAATTAGATAACAAATTGTTTTTAACAAATTTCATGTACCACAATATAAATATCTAAACAAAAACCAAACCACTCTCATTAAAAAAAAAAAAAAACATAAAATTAAACTGAAGGATAAATAAAGGAGTAATTGTTATAAAATTTAATTGTTTAAGATGCCCAGTACCAATTTAATTTTGTTTACAAAAATACACTCTAAGGGAATAGTAATCATGTCCTCAACCGAAGATCAACCAAATTTAATAATTTTTTTTTAACTAATAGAGGGTAATATTCTACAGACCACATTGAACTCGGTTTTTAAACATTTGAATCTCAAACTTTATATGTCTTTAAAAACGTTAATTTTAAGTTTTTTTTACAAATTATTTAATACCATTATATTTTAAAATAAAATAAAAAATACGGATTCAGTGCTAGCTGTTGAGCCTTCTTCTTTCATATAAAAATAGTGATCAAAATACAACAATCCTACAATACCTGAGAATTTTTCCTGCAAAGTCATGTTTGATCATCTAATACACTGTATCAACCTTCTTCACTAAAATAGTATATGACAGAAGATTAATGAAAAAAGTGTAATAATTAAGGTAGCAACTAAAATATAATATATGATTTTCAAATTGCGAGAAATTTTAAAATTTTTCACTGGGTCCCTTAAGTTTTTTTTTTCATTTTTGTAAGTTTATTGATTATTTAACATTCAATCCTTATAGTATATTCACTTTTTATATTTACTTCAAAGCGAGATTTCATTTACTAGATCAAACCAATTTTATTTTTCTTATCAACTTTATTTATGGTAAAGGAATTGTCTATTGTCTACAACTAGAGTTAAGACTACGTTGGCTGGACAACACGTATAAATGTAGTTATTCAGTTTTATCTAAATAATTTCAGCTCTATTTTATGATTATGTAAATACTAACCAGTCTAGTATTAACTACAATGTTATAATTATGTTATGATACTAAAATGACGTGCCAAATAGAGTAATATGTTTGATGCAAAAAAATATTTACTTAAAAAATATGTGAAAACTTTACCTACACCCAAATAGTTAAATTTGAGTAGTTTATTTTATGGTTTTATCAAATGTATGCGTAACTACAACATATCTTTAAGTCAAAGATAATGTACAGTTATAGTGATGGTGTATGTGAGTAATATATTAATTTTGTTATGCATTTAATTTATATTGTTTGAACACATTAATAATAACATAGAATTATCATTGATTTTGTAATATTTTTTTCTGTTAATTCAAATACATCTGTGTTGTTGGATATAACATAATAGTTGGTAAAATTAAAATAATAGTTATTAATAATAATGTATAGTCAACAATATCCTCACCATCAGGTAATTTTGACATTGCACAAGATTAAACAATTTAATACTAAAAACCATATTACATAACATAAATATATGCATGATTGTATAACCTTATTTATTATAAAATAAAGCATAGTTAAACAATAGTGGATGCTCTTTTTGTCATTCACCTTATATTCAGTTTAAGAAGCTTAAGTATTTCAAACTAATTAATGAAATGTACTGATTGTACAGAAATGTAAAGATGTTTTTATTAGTTATATACCGACAATGACTTGGACCATAACATGAGTTTTGAATAGATATCTTAAGTATGAATAATATAATTAAATTTATTTAAGTTACAAACTAACAAAAACCACTTAACAGATTTTAAAATCCATAATGCATAATGTGTATTGAATATTATTATTTAACGTAAATTAAAGTGGACAATGAACATGAACCCAAAATATTAAAATGCGATATATTTTAGATACATTATCCAAATTATATAATTACAAAATAAGTTAAAAATTCACAAGAGTTATCCAAATTAGCATTTTTCATGCACCAGATTATCATTTTACTATTTCAATAATTAACAGTGCGCATGGAATGAGGAATGTAGTAATGCTCTTTATGAAAACTTAGTCCAATAGTATTAGTTAAATTGTTATTCAACCATGTGTAGATGTATAAAGTTTGAAAGATTTAAAAAGTATTAACCAACATAATTTCTGATAAACAATTTAAAATATGTAATTCCATATTTTTCATAAATATGATTAATATTAAAATTTATATTGATTAATTTGACAGAAATATAATTAAGTAATACACATTAATCAACATTTCTTACTAAATCTAACTTGATATTATTTTCTTAAAAAAATATATAAAAAAATGACTGAAACAAAGACAATAATTTAAACATTAGATACTTAAATTGAAACAGGAACCTTCACTTGTCATAATTTTAAATATATTAGAAGTTTAAACATGATTGACATAAAAAATATTATTTAAAGATCTTGTACGTTTAATAATACCCAAAATCAATCACTTAAAATAATATTTATGACAGCACATCACCAACCAAATTAGGTTGTTTTTAATCAAATATTATTTGAAGAATTATTATTGTTAAGCATTCTTATAATAAATTAAAAAGTTAATTGTTAAAAGAATATTTGTGTATGATATTATTAACTTACGTCTCTAAACATTTTCACAGCTTCTTTTAACTTTCTTAGTTTCCTACAACACATAGCTATACGTCTTTTGATATATATCAAAACATTTAGATCTCGTCCTGAAATAAATAAAAAAAATATTCTAGGTAATATCAATTAATTATGAAAGCATAATAATTTTGCATATTATTTTGTAAAAATATTACAAAAATGAATAAATGCAATAATTATGATATTAACATCAGTGGTGTAAGCAATCGCCAAACATTTTACCCACCTATACCTTCATTATTTTTTACTACCTCTAGAAAGCTGGTAGTAATTTATTATGGTTTTTATTTTATAAAAATAATTAGATCCTGCTTCAGGATTTTAATAACACCTACCCTTAACCATCAACCAAATGTTATAAACACGTCTCGTAAGTTCATGCACAAAAAAATTGGCAAAATATGCATTTATATGCCCTTACATTTTTAAAATATGCACTCAAAATAAGTTAAAAATAACAAGAAACTTTTCAAATATTTGTCTTAAAAATTTTTTTATGAAATAATATGCGCTATAAACTCTAAAAAAAACATTTATATGCCAAATATGCCTTTACACCCATAACATGCAACAACATGCATTATTAAACTTTATATTATTATTAATATTGCTATGAAACGGATTTGTATCTCAGTAAGCATATTTTCCTGTGTAGCAAAAAAAAAACATGCAGATACATGAACTTACGAGCCTTGGTTATAAATAATAATATAACAACATTTTATTAATTTTATCATTATTAGAATTTGATCATCAAATTTTGATTTGTTCATTTAAGAATTTACCCATAACATTTTACAGCCTGAAATGTACAACGCTTACATTGTTTATATGCAAGTCACACCACTAATTAACACCAAGCTATCTGTGGTATCTAGAAATTCAATGTTATAACATATACATATTTATCAAATTGTAAAATAATACAAATTTTTTCTCTTATAAAATCTTACAATATACAGGTACTTCTACAAGTAGACAAATATATTTTATATTTAATATATAATTAAGAACTCTCTATGGTACTTAGTTGTGACAGTATCCTCTGCAACGTTGATTTAAAAATTAAGATACTATTAGAGTTAGAGACTTGAAATCATCAATTTATTTTTCTAATTCCCATTTGTTTATCTACTGAGCATATTATCAATATACCATACTATTTTATTTTGTACTAATCGTATAAGTATACAATTTGTAATAAAACATAGTTTTTTGTAAGCATTACAAAACATAATATAAATTATAATGATCGAATAATTTTATTTGAAAACCTATCAATTCAATGTTAGTTTCGCTTATTTAATCTAAAGAAAATTACACAAAATTATTAAGATTATGATATATAAATGGTTGTTATAAATTATAATTATAAAAAACTTACTGTGTTGCATTTCAATATTAGAATCCAGATGATGAGATTTTTGTGTTTTTTTGTAGTTAGCTTCAGCTAGTTTTAAAGCTTTACGTAAAATTTTTTCTACTTTTAACATAGTTGGCGCTTCTTCTTCAGCTAACATGATAAGAGCTGTGACACAGTCAGCATTTTTTTCTAAAGCCAAATGTGCAGCTTTCACTCTGGCAGCAGGTACCCTTTCTCTCCATGCGGCTTGCATTACTTAATTAAAAATAAAGTATAAGTGAGTTTTGGCAATACATTCAATAACACATATTATAATGGCATATTTATAGATATATTGTTTTACTTTCGTAATCTGGTTTTCCATTATCTGCATCACAAATGAAAAATGCCTGATGATCTTGAGCTGATAAATTCATATCGTAAAATGTCAAAGGTTCTCGTTTGGTAACATTGTGGTATCTTGAATATTCTGCACCGCGAAAAAGTCCTAATGGATTCCTCCATACTTTACATTCTAAAAAATTAATAATTTGAATTTAAATAAAATTGTATACTTATAAATAAAACAAAATAGGGTTACAAACATTATGCACTAAGGAATGTGGTTCTGAACAATTTTATAAAAGTCAACATAGATATATTACAAAATTGTAATAATTGACCTCCTAAACTACCTAGATTCTGTCCAACAAGATGTTTGACCAGACGTTAAACAATTGCAGTGTAGGGATTTGCAGTAGTGTATTCTCTCTGGATAGAGTATAGTAGTAACTAGTACCTATAACTTATAAATGGACAAACTAGGAGATAATCCATATAGTGTTTTATATTTATAATGAACAGCAAAGTAGGGGTACAGTACAGGATCTACAAAATGTGAACGTGGTAACGAACAAACAGAACACATACTCATGAGCTCTTTAAATTCAGCGATATTAACTAGCAGTCATAACTAGTTTTAAGTAGAAATAGAATTAATAGAATGACACAAAACAAAATTGAATTATAAAAATTAGATTACTATCGCATATAAAAAAAAGAAGCAAACTCTGATATAAAATCCAAGCCCTCTATAACACTCATTCCATTAATTCTTGCACCAATCATGTTCTTATTAAGCTATTTAGTTGATATTATATAATATATACCTGGTACTTGTTGATTATTATCGTTACCTCCACCAATCCATGGACTAATATAATTGAGTGAAAACTGTTCAATAAATGATACTCCATACTTTTGGAAATATATCCATTCCAAAATCTGAAAACAATAATTTTTATAGCAATTCTCCAAACCAAACATTTTATATTATATAAAAGCATACCGCTGTCATTACTCATTGCTAAGAAATGTCTACAATAAAAAACAATTGAGTATACATAAATTAATTTTGAAAATTAAATGTTTACAATATCGGATATTCTCATTGGACTATTTTCTTATTTTGTTGTAATTCAAAAACAAACAACCGCAGAAACTTGAAATTTTTACAAAATGTTAATTTTATTTTTTAACATACATGATATCATTATTTAAATATTTGTCTCTTTTTTTGTTTGGCTATTTATGGAAATTTCAAATTTTTATTTTTATTCTAAAATTGTTAATAAAAAATGTTGGGTTTGGCTTAAATGTTAGTCAAAACACTTGAAAGTATAATACAAAAGCCTCATAAGTTTTGAGTATAGCAATTAAAAAATAATTAAGATAAAATATAAGCCCAGGTTTTATAAGCATTTAAAATTTTAAAGTTCACATTTTGACGATTCTTCAAAATTAGAATAATTTGGCAAACCTTTTATACTTAAGAATTTATCAAATGTTCAATTTTTATAGCTTAGGATTTAAATTTAAAGAAAAGATTTTTTATAAGTAATTCATATTATAACTGAAAAAATATATAAATACAATTTTTTAAGACATTTTAAGTTCCAATTTGTAGCAATTTAAATATTTAAAGACTTGTTTTTCAATTGAAATGTTAATTCCTTTATATTATATATAAAATGCTAAGGCTGGGGAAGTTAACAATTTTTTTAAATGCGTTAAGTTAAGTTATTATAAGAAAAAGTAAGTTAAGTTTAAAATTATGGAAAAATAAATTAACTAGGTCAAAATCAACTTAATTAAAAACTATTTTCAAATCTTTTCTGTTCAAAATATTTATTTAAACGTGGTCATTTTGACTCTAGGTCTTTCGACTCATTGGTCGATTTTCTTTTAAATATTAATTAATATGAAATGTAAATAATAACAAAAAACAACACAGTGAAATTACAACAAATAAATAACTCAAAATCGACAAAATTTTAATAGAACCGCGGTACAGCACTGAATGAAACAATGAGTATAGTAAAATAAAAATACCGTAAATAACAATACCAAATTATAAATCATGTAGTATAAATATTTTTAATTAAAACGTTAACAAAGATGTTCAGAAATATTTTTTTCCCCGTGAGTTATTTTAATAATTTCAAGTTATAACGTATTTCTCAGGATGTGTGGTGTATATGTTAAAATGTCACTAATAACTAATGAGGAATGATAATTCCATAATGGTTTACAAGAAAACTAATTAAGTATACAAACGTAGCGACAATTAGTACTTATCTAAACATAAATATAAATGTATATTAATATTATATAATAATATGTTCAATGTTCTTTTTCAATATATAATATACCACTGATATACATATATTCAATATGAAAATATGGCAATATCATACAAATTCATAGTATATAGTATATTAGTATATACTGTATGACAAATTTAAAACTATTAATTATTATTATGTGCTGGTAGGTAATGGGTACCATACTATAATTGGATACAGGCTATCAACAAAATTGAAAATACTTATACGTATATATGTGTATAATGTATATGTCAAACTCAACCGGTAATAATAATTATTTATTAACTATACATTTTCCCATTTATTTACTATAATCTCTAATATTTCTCAATCCAACAAAGTTATAACTCAATAAGTTCTATTAAGTAGGTGCATAAGAACCACTAAAAAAAAAAAAATAATACTAATTTTACTTTTAATAGTCATGAACTTTTTAATTTAATAAACACTTATCAACATTAAAATCTTACTTAATTGAAAGTATTTTATCTTTATTTTTTAAAAATTATTATTCACGTAGACACATGTAACATCATTAATAAACAATATTAGAACTCTTACAATATTAAATAGACAACATATAAACACAAATTTTAACTACCATAGTTAATTTCTAATTTCACTTTATAAGTGTATTTTAGTAGAATAATTTAATATTTTAAATTTAACATATGTAAAATAATATATATACTAAAAAGTAAAATCATACCATTATTAAAGCTGAGATGAATGATGAAGTTGCTGTAAGAGCAATGTAAAATTTTGGTGTCAATGAATCCATAAAAACTGCCACTGTAAATACATAAATAAGGTTTTAAAGAAAACATAAAGCAAAATTATACATATCTTAATATTAATGTAAAAGTTATAAATGTTATAATAAATAAAAATAAGCAACTAAAGAATACGCATAATGAAGGTTGTGAATTTGTATCAAAATTAATTTGTTTTAGTTTATTACAATACATAGATAGCTTAACAGAAAGTTTGCATTACATAATAAATCATTTTTACATTTTAAAGAGTGTTTTAGCATATTAAAAAAAAAAATTTTTTCAGCGTTTTAGGTTATACTTTGTTCTTTCTAATGCATTTCATATATTTCAATAATTTCGGTGTATTACCCTACTTGAACAATTATATTTTACATTACAATAGCAATATAAATGTGTTTTTACAATTTGATAAGGTAATTAGAATTATGATACCATCACATTACAATTGAAAATTTAAAGAAAATAAACTAGGTAGATAGATATAATATAGTAACAATCTATAATTGATATCCAATTTATCTTTTAATTAGTTTGAAGCAATCATTTTTTATTTGAAAACTAAGGCGATAATTAAGACGAATAATGTGCCCAAACAATGTTTTTGTTGTTTTTAGTATATAGCTACTTAAAAAAGGAAAAAAAATAAAATGTTTCAGCATTTCAAGCAAGTAAAACTACAGCAAGTTTTAAATACTAAGTTAATCAAGAATTAACAATTTATAATTTTTATTTATTTACTAACAAAATTATTCAATATAATAATTTACAACCTATGAATTCTGAATATTTTAATTTTTAGCCCTTTTTTTAAAATAGGACCTGACATTTTTTTATGATTATACAAAAGTATTTAAAGAATGTGGAGAATTAAGTACCTGTAGAGCCTAGTCATAAAAAAATTCATTATTTAAATTGATCAAACAAATGGATATTGTACATTGTCTAATGAAAATACCACAAGCATATTTTAGATAGATTCCTCCCATCAAATGTCTTTATGATGACATGCGTAAAAGAGACATAAAGTTTATAGGCAGTCGACAATCAAATTGTTTCTTTTTTTAAGATATTGTATCTACTTTTTATTTACGACAGTAAAAAAAAATTATTATGATGTAACTATGGCCCTTTAAAAGTAATGATATAGTAAATTATTTATAGCAAACAGAACCGGGTCTAACTCCCTATTTAACAATTAACCAAACAAATCATTTGGAACAATTGAACTCGCTTCTAAATCTAGATGGTTGTTATTTAACCATAAAAAAATAAAAAGTGGATATCATTGAATACCACCTTAGCATTGCCTATGATTAAAATGCTGATATCTGATATCTGCCAGCGGTATCATCACCTATACTTACCACACTGAACCGAAGGGAGCCTAACAGGCGGCTTCCCTAACAGTCAGTACACCCTTAATGTAAGATCGTGAGTTATCACCCACCTACGTCCCAGATGGCTTTTTTCCGCAAACATTCCCTGGTGTAGCACACAACCAAAATAATGGCCAGATACCACGCCCACCACAATTTCCTCCAAATCCAACCGATGAACGTCTTGACCATTTTCGTACAGGCCCGCAGAGATGTGGCTCAGGTAACTTACGACTGCGACGGCGGTTGGACGGACATTACCGGTCGGCGAAAGATAACCCACCGGCGAGCTCGACAAACCGACCACTGCAACAACGAGAAATGTATTGTTTAAACGGCTTCCAACGACATCGACATTGACATGAGTACGACGGTGGGGTCGGGTGACGACGAAGGAACGGTGATCAAAGAACAGATGGTAAAAATTAAAAAGTAAAAACGCCGAACCCGTACGTACAAAAGAGAGCGGAGCAAACGCTGTTTATGCCGCTCGGCCGATCGATACAGGGCTTATCAGTGGGCCGTTGGGACAGTATTCGACGCTCAGTGATACGTGAAACGTTTCACCGCCAAGTGGCACTGCACCAAATAGTGGTGACAACTGACTACAGATCATAGAGTAATGCAACAGTTGACCATAAGCGACTGTGAATAATTGACTGACGACCACAAAGCAATTTTTACTGCAATAGACAAATTACATTACTTACAATAAGTTATAAAATGTTTAATAATATACAGTGGTCCTCTAAATACCCGACACTCTCGGTCGCCGTAATTTTCTCCGTTATTTAGAGGTGTCCGCCATCCAAGGGGAGGGGGGGCAATTCTCGAATAATACTCGGAGAAATTAATAACTACTTATGTAGAGCATTTATTATTTATATAATATTTTTAATGATATTTGTTTATTTGTATTATTTTAATGCAAATACCTATTAATAATTGTACATATAATTATTTAAAATGTATGATACCTACTATTGTGTACATATGTAAAAATTAATGAAAATGTAAAATTGACAATTTTAAGATAAACATTTACATTTATTGAAAAATCAATTAAACTAAGCTGGTTGAAGACCCCAAGTTTTGTAAACAGCGTCGTAGCGTCTTTCTTAGCTATGAGCCTATGATATCCGCGATTGTGTTTTACTAACACTAAACTTGTCTGCAAACGCCCATCTGTATAACATGCTCGAAATTCGAGATTGTCAAATTTTTACTTTCAGTCTTAATCTTTTTCGTTTATTGGCTTTTGTATACTATACTACGTTCGTATAGAATGGAATCACCAACACAAGTAAGACAACTTCACAGAATATAAACTAGAAAAATGTTTTCAACGAAGAGTTATTGGATGGATAAAATAAATATAATTGTTTAATAATGTACTGTAGTAAGGTTATACTATTATTTATAATAGTATTAGATTAATAGATATTTACTAAGGTATTTTACGATTACTCTATATTTACAATAAATATTATTAAAATCAAAACTGCCATAAAAGTTTCCTTTTTTAGAAATTAAGTAGGTACTTCGTGTTGATTTGTAAGTTATGTAATCTAAACTTACTGTAGATGTAAAAGTATAAGATGTTGTTATTTTTTAAATAACGTTTTTGAAATATTATTTGAAATAATATTAGTTAATATAGATACATCATCTTTGCGATAACTGTGCGACCTTCAATATTCATAGAAACACTAAACCGAATAAGGTAAAAGGAAAATATGACTTTTTAGTTGTGGTCATAGTGATAGTGTAGGTATTAAAAAACTACTAGTGTTTGTGAGTGCTGATTTAATTCTGGTTGAATAGTTTATTTCTTATTGTTATAAATATAATTGAGTTAACTATCAAGGAATTATAGTTCTGTAAAAACAAAAGAAAAATGGATTATATTAGAGATGAAATTTTTTATCAACAATAAGAAAAAAAATCCATACATACTATAAATATCTGATGGAAATTTAAAGAATCTTAGGCCAATGGTTTAACAAACTGATTTTGTCAAAAACTAGTTTTTTGTAAAAAGTCCTTCTAATTTTTTAAAACTGAACTCTGGGAATGCAACATTTACTACTGAATTAGTAAATTGTCTGTTTTTCTAATACAAAATATAATAGCCATAATATTTTTACTTTGTACCTTAGAAAAAAAAATTGCTAAAATTCCTTACAACTATAATACAGTGACAAGAAACATCTTTCTAGATTTGGAATCATGATCATTCGAAAAGGCCATTGTACAATTTTTTCATGAATGCAGTACTCACATATGAAGTTGATGACTTAAAAATTCAACAATTTTTGTAAGATCATACGAACCCAGCAATTTTATTGCTTCAAAAGACTAAACACTAATATACAATATAACTAGTTGTTTCAGCATAACAAGCATCACATCATTAGATTCAAAATACTATTTGTTACCTAAATTATTATGTTAAATTGATTGGCTATGGACTTAGTCGTTCCAAAAATAGCTACAGACCATAGTTTTAAATATTTTTTTTCAAATATGTACATGTAATTATAACATTTAAATTATTTAAAAATTAAAACAAGCCTACATAATATAGATACCTAAAAACATGTTAAGTAATATTACTTTTATTTTTGGTAAAAGCATAGAGTCCTCTGTGTTTGTGTGCTGTACTAAATATGTGAATAAAAATAGGACAAAAATTAGGACGTGAAGGACGCCACTGCTATACTCCGGCCCACAAGATATCATTACCGTGTCCCAACTGCAATATGTTTGATCCCGCGCATCTCCAAGTATTTTGACAAACACTGAATGGCACAAAGTGGGGAAATGCCATCAGTCTAAACAAGCGAAAAGGTTATGGTCTCTTGTGGGCTAAATAATATAGTTAGACATAACATTATAATTTAAAACAAAATTCATAAAATATGTGTTTTAATTTCTTAACAATATTACAATAGTTATTCAAATAATACATTAGGGTTTCAATAACGTAATACAATAAATGGTCATACAATTTTGATATTTTATTTTAAAACATATTAGAACTCTCATTTGTAACAATACCTGCATTAATAATTTGGAAAACATTGATAGTTTTTATATTTTATACATGACATATGAAAATAATAGTCGATAAAAAGGCACAATAGATACATTATTATAAAAATGGCTCATTTACAAACATCCTTAAAATCTTTGAAAATGAATATTAGTCAGCTTTAACTTATTTATTTGTTTAAATTAAGTAAATTATAAATAAAATATTTGCTGGTCGTTATTATTGTGCAATTTCTTCTTATAGAGTAAGTAGATAAATAGTTTTTTTTAATAGATGTGATATTATTTAAATTGCAACCAATATCTAGGGGATTTTTAAAAATATAAAATTAAGAAAAATCAATTTGATTTGAGTTCTATTTTTTTTTTTTTAACTATCGATAAATAATCTGAAACTAATTTTTATCCTAAAAACAGTTTTTTTTTATTGTTAATTAAATTAATCATTATTTTGAAATTACAATAATATGATGGAATATATAAAAAAAAACATTATCACATATCAGTTCATGAGTATTATACAATCTAAACATTCTAAACAGTAACCATCTGATTAAGATACCAATATACCCTATGAAATTTCATAGGCATTGGTTTTTTTATTAAATGTAGTTTTAAACAAATTGTAAAAATTGAATTTACAACAATAAAAATTGTATTCTTGTTAAATTAAATAAATATGTGCCAACATGACATATGGATGTGACTTCAGTCAAATAAACTATATAAAACTATTATATTTATTCATATTTAGCAACAAGAACCATTAAGTAAACTCCCACTAATAAAGCTAAAATTTCTTTAATGGACTGTTTGAAACTTGAGTCTTCTAAAAGACTTGGTATTACGTTTACAGTTGCAATATAAATGAAACCACCAGCTGTAAATGGCAGTACCCACGAATTTGCAACTTCACCTGAGAAAAAATAAACATTAATACACTAACGTTTACTAAAACTGTGCTCCTGTTGTTTTTTTTTTAATTTTTAGGCAAGTTTTAGTTAATCAAACTGTATAAAAGTAAATAAAAACTCTGCCTAATCATATGGCATAACGTAAAGTGGTATTTACTGATATCCATACATATTCTTATATTTTTAAATGTTCTGTAATTATTTATTACCAATGGTTTTCATAAAATCTACAAAACCATAGTATTTTTAGTGTATTTATCATGGAATAATTTAAAATCACTATTAATTGACTAAAAATAGTTTATACAATATTAATAATTGTCTTTAAAGTTCTAAAAACAATAAATGAGCTTTATTAATGTACAAATAACATACTTGTTATTTTTATTTGTAATTATCAACTAGAGTCCCAAAGTTATTTAATAATTTGCATATTATACAGTAAATTTATTTATAAAAAAAAAAATGTATCATAAATCATAATATAATGTTCACAAGTTAACATAAAAATACTATTTTATTTATTTTAAACATTCTTGTAATTAAAAAAAATTCAGGTAATAAGAAGTCGTATAAACTTACTATCTTTTCCAAAAGTCAATGACACCAATGTTCCACAAATTGCTCCTATTGCAGTTAATAACTGACATTTCATAGCCTGTAAAAAAGAACAAAATTGTTTGGTTAATTTATAAATGTTAAAATAAAATTTAAGTAAATAAACAAATTAAACAATTAGATAAAAATTAATAATTCTAAATTGAACTATGAATGGTATTAATAATAATATTGTTGATGATTATCTAAAATTTTCAGAATCCAAAGTAAATTTAATTGATTTTTTATTTTTCATGAATATCCTAGCCACTAAGCCTTGTCATACATACTACATTCATAAATTATTTTAATAGGGTGGAAAGTAAAGCACTAAAATTATTTTTAAAAAGTAATTTTGCTACAGTATTTGTAATTTGCGTTACGTCATTACCCAACACTAATTATTACCAACTATTCATTTAATGTTTAAAAAGGACGTCAAAACTGGCATGTGTTGTTTCCGTCTTTCAAACACACAACACAGCATATCTGCATTGAGAAGAATATATTATATGTTGTTAGCTTTAGTTTTAAAGTAAATTGATCTATTATTAAACTTAAATATAAGAATATTATCTAGATATTTATAGATATTTAAATTTTGATGCAAGTTATAAGCATTTTAAAATTGCAGTATTTTAGTTTTACCACACTAAAATATTATAATATTTTACAAAGCTATAACACACTTTGAAATTAATTAATAAAAGTATACGTGGTGCCCTAAATAATATTCTACTTGACCTACTTACCTTTAAGTTTGACAATAGGTCAATTCACTAAAATATTAAAGCTAACAACACTAAGTGGTTTCCACTGAACAGATATAGTGTAAATAACTCATTCTACTAATTAAGTTAGGTAAATTTAGACTTGAAATGTTAATAATAATTTAACATTTTTGATCAGATGACTACCACTTTTTTTTTAAATATTTAAGACCTAATAATAATTTGGTAGGGTAAATTACGAAAAATAATCACAATAATATTTTATTAATTGAGAACACATTTTAGTGTACAAAACAATTGAATACATAATATACTTAAAGCTGTATGTTTACAAGTATAATTAATTTTTGCTCACAAACTGTTAACCAATTTAAAAATAAATTTACTCACATTTGCCTTCGAACTACCTTCTTGAATTAAAATTGCATAATCTCCAATCTCGTGTGGGACTTCATGAAGTAATACTGTTATTGTTGTAACTATACCAATATTTTGACCGGCTAAATATGCAGCACCAATAGCAAGTCCGTCAGTAAAGTTGTGTGTAAAATCAGCAACAACATTTAACCATCCAGCTACTGATAAACTTTGTTTTGGCACTATAAAAAAATATAAATATTTGATTTAAACCAAACACATGTACATACAATATTTAATACAATTTTACTCTATTAATTTAAAAAAATAAATTTTTAAAGCCTAATTATCTAACAAAATTAGTAGTATATTGTTAAGGTAAGATTTTTAAATTAAGTTGATATTCCATGTAAAATTTAAAAGAAATTCAATATTTTATTTACACATACAAAAACTTCAACAACTGAAGTTGCTTCTAAATATCTGTATAAATGCCTATTAAACGCATTTTAATTATTATATTATCATTATATACATACAACCTAGTTTTCAAGTTTATTTAAACAGAAATTAGATTAGATAAAATATGTATTACTCTAATATGTGTGTATAATAACATGAAAAAAAATCCAAGAATAGGAACCACATGATGACATTTACATACTTCTTAGTTCTTAGTAGTAATAAGTAATTCTTACTTTACTATAGGTACTTTAAAATATATAGAATATTTAATTATATATCTTTGATAAGCTATCAATATTGTTATATTTGAATGGAATGTTTTTATGATTGCTTTGATAGTCATTCAATCAATTTAATTTGGTTTAAAATGTATTAGGTGTAATTCTTGGTAAATAACTGAGATCGGGTGATGTTGATACTGAGATATTGCTGTTCATCATGTTATTTAATTTTATTTTTGTTTATATTTACAATTTTAAATGTTTAGTTTATTAAATATCATATACATAGGATATTAAGATGAATAAAATATGATGTTAATAAAAAAAAAGTATTATAGTTGAAATGTTGATTTGTTTGTTTATATATAGTTTCGTAGGCCATGGCCAATAGTACAATTCAGGTTCAAATGATCAATTAAAACATATAATGTCACAATAATACCTCATGGACCCATAAAAATGTAATTGGCCCATAGTAAAAATAATTCCCAGTATAATAATAATAATAATGATAATTTATTGGCCATATGTAGTTACATTTTACAGTAATAACAAAAATATTAAGTATAATGGCCCAACTTACCACTGAGGAAATTGGTGAAAATATATAAAAAATACATAAAATAAAATAGATTTTGTTGTAATATTTGTAGGTATACCTAAAACTGTTGAAATAATTCTCTACCAGGCTATACTAAGTCTACTTAAACTATATTATATTCAAAACCTAGTGTCTGGTTTTTTGTCAGTAAAATAACATCTTTACAGAGTTAATATAAGTAATAATGATTTAAAACTTTAAGTTTAATTATGAACCTAGCAAATAAAATGAAGTATAAATTTACCTATTAGGCCAAAAAAGAAATGTTACTTACTTGCAAGTTTCACATTTTTGTCATTATTTTCATCTTCGTCTTCATCATCACTTAACTTTTCCTTAGGGCGTACAGATGAATGCGAATGGCTATGACCACCTTTTATCACTCTAACCATTTTCTCAACAAACAAGAACACCAATATGCCGGCTAGAATCCACAATCCCACCCCAATCTCGTTGCCGTGGTCATGGCCACCTTCCGAACTATGTGAATCAGCACTGCAATGCTGACCGTGATCATGGTGGTGGTCATCATTACTGTGGTGATGATCCCCATGACCGTGGTGGCTGTGTGTGGACAATGAATGCGGGATTAAGTGCAGGAATGCATCGCCCAATAATCCACCAGATGCAAAACTCAAGAGCACCTTCAGAAATGACTTGTGTTCGTCCTTGTTATCGATTGGAATGAAGAATAACACGAAAAACGGCAGTACGCTAATGGCGACGGTGGATGACAACGCTTTGACCCACAGCATTGAGTCGACGGTCGGCTTGGACACGGACTTCGCTGTATGGTGGTCATGGTCGTGATCATGGTGGTGGTGGTGTCCGTGGCTCGAACAAAGTTTCGGCAGTCCTAGGAACACAAACGCGAACAGCAGCGTCCAGCAAACGTACTTAATGCACTTCTTTGACAGCATGGCTATTTGTGATTAATGACTCGCCGAGTGATTTTGATTCGTTGGATAAGGACCGGCGACAAACAGGAACCCTACTAAAATTAATAACAACAACGAAAACAGTGACGTCGAGTTGTCATTTCATGCGTGTAAGCGGCCGACGGACGAAATGGCACGTCGTTAGTTTCGAGGGGAAGATAACGACGACCGTAGACATTAGGAAAGAGTGCGAGACACGGACGGACGATGAACGAAGCGGGCGATAGACAGATAGTAGAGAATAGTGAGCGAGAAGGCATGATTGAGAAAGTGGTGGGGAGAAAAATGCCAGTTGATAACGGAGCCGGAAAGCGTCGTGTTAACTTTACTGTTGAGTGATATTTGATAAGCTATGCAAGGAAAAAACAATGAAAAACACGATTTCGATTATTACTTATTGAAATTCCGTTCGTAATGATTGCAATTTGTAGGTACCTACTGACTACCAGTTACTATACCCACCTATTAATTGGACTATTCCCAAAAATGTCCCCATGGAAATGACTGGCGTTAAAAATCGAACGCAGGGTGATTATAATTTGTTATATTAGGTATTCAATATAACAAAGTACTACCTAATAAAATTATAAATAGGTATTATAATAATGTTTTATTGTAATTTACTAGAAATTCATCAGACACACACCAATGTAAAATTTAAATAGTGGTACCTAGATATATCTGTACCATTTTATATTTTTGTTTTTCGTAAACATTTGAGTTAAATTAGTTTAATGGTTATAATTAAATTATAGGTACGAAACAATCAACTACAGATAAATTATGTACCTACACCTGTCCATCAAAAATGTTTAAGAACTTACTTACCTAAGTATAATAAATTAAAAATTAATTTTAAAACTTAAACACACCTGCTTATTATTTATTAATTCAATAATGATTAATATAAAATAAATGAGTTCATATAAAAATCGTAGTCTTATTGTTGTTAAATACATTATTTAATAAATTTAATTTTGAAGTCTATAAATGAATAAATGGTCATGATTTACTTAAATAAATAATACGTATCTACCTAATACAGATTATAGGTAAAGGTGTATCGTATATTCGTATTGTACATATTATTACATATTAAAATAAATATAAAATAAATTTTATTTTAATATTACCTATTTAAATAAACATAATATTTTTTGTTAAAAACTGTTCCTGTTTTTTTTTATGTTTGTTGTTCTATATGCATTTAAAACTAAAGTTTTTTACTTTTTTCCCCACAATAAAGTAGATAACTTTGCCAAATTAGATTCACTTTCCTATCACAAAAGATGTTAAAAAAGAAAACCTTATCGTTTTTACTGCCTAAAAGTTAATGACAGACATGCAAAAGAAGGTTTGTTAATTACCATGTATGTATTAAATTTTCAAGTTTTTTGATCCAGCGAAAATATTTTTATCGATATTTTTAGCAAAATACTAAAATTACAAATGTAAGTAGGCTTGTTAGTAGCTCAAAAAGAGTCTAAGAAAATATTGATAATTATTAAATATATTAGGTAAGTGAACATTTTAAGTAGGTATCTAAAGTTATTTGTTTTTAAATAACAAAAAAATTAGAAAATCGTTCCAATCGTTCCATGAGAAATTCTTAATTTAATGGTGAAAGGATCAGTTGTAAAATTTTAAATTTCAAAAGCTCATAAAAAATTAATATGACTTTCTACAAAACTTTTAGAAAAACTCATTAAGAATCTTGTATTATATATTTCAAATCTTAAATAATAATTTGCTAGTGTTCGGGATTTTGACTATTTTTATCAGAATTCTATCCTCATAAGCTCATAAATAATAGTATTGTCAACTCTTTTTTTAATTACATTAATACCAACTTATGAGAAACCTTGTATTATATTTTCAATTTTTTTGAACAAACGATAACAATAATTTATTTATCGGCAATAATTGAAAAAAAATTGAAATGTTTCATGTACATAAAATATTGATTGTTCGAAAAGAGTGAAATATTTTTTAAATGTTTTAATGTATGGCAAATGGTCTAACAAACATTTATTGACAATTTAAAGTATCAACGGTTATTCATTTTTGAGTTATCGAAAAAATACAAAATCAGTTTTTTCAAAATAATCTAGTTTTTTAACAACAGTAATAATACGAAGAAGAATAAATAAGAAAACCTACCTTAAGGTATCAATAAGTAGAATTCTGCGCCAGACCGATATAATAATTGCCTAATATTTTTACGTTTATATTTTCGTGTACAAAAGTACAATAGTCATGACTTCATGAGGTATCCGTATACGTAAATCGTGTCTACGTCATCGGTTGTTAACGATTAATTTGATGGCCTCAACACGATATACCGATATCAGCACCGCACATGTATGTGTTGTGTTACTACCTAGTACCTACCTATGTACCTACTTATATAGTTATGTAGGTATAAATATGGTAAATGTACACGTATTGATATTTGATATTTTAAGTTACAGCCTAACAACCATGGGTATACGTGTTTCAATTTTAATGGGATATATGGGTAGACCATTATTATAATGGCAGTATAAGCATGACAAATTAAATTTGATTTGTCATGTACATAACTACATAAGTAGGTACATAGGTAGGTACTAGGTAGTAACACAACACATACATGTGCGGTGCTGATATCGGTATATCGTGTTGAGGCCATCAAATTAATCGTTAACAACCGATGACGTAGACACGATTTACGTATACGGATACCTCATGAAGTCATGACTATTGTACTTTTGTACACGAAAATATAAACGTAAAAATATTAGGCAATTATTATATCGGTCTGGCGCAGAATTCTACTTATTGATACCTTAAGGTAGGTTTTCTTATTTATTCTTCTTCGTATTATTACTGTTGTTAAAAAACTAGATTATTTTGAAAAAACTGATTTTGTATTTTTTCGATAACTCAAAAATGAATAACCGTAGATACTTTAAATTGTCAATAAATGTTTGTTAGACCATTTGCCATACATTAAAACATTTAAAAAATATTTCACTCTTTTCGAACAATCAATATTTTATGTACATGAAACATTTCAATTTTTTTTCAATTATTGCCGATAAATGAGTATAAGTACCTGTCCCCTCCTCCACTTCTTATATTATTATTTTCCTGTTTTAAATTAATTACAATAAGCGTATGGTAAGCACATATTTTTGTGGTATGTTTACATAAATAATATGGCTGTAGCCCGGATCCCGTTTTACATAAAAGAAAATTCTCAAACGTCTCCTTTTTTTTGACAACACAAATTCCTTCCCATTTCATACAGAGTTATAGGACTATCACAAGAGGTTAAAAATGTATTGTAAATTTTATATTGTAAGTAAATTATAAAAATATAGGAGTATTATAAATCATAAATTAAAAATTAAAGATAAATTGTGTTGGATGGTGATTCTTAAACTTTGTATGGTAAGTTAACTATAAAAATAAGTGTTAGAACATTTAAAAATGATATTAGGTACATTTTTTTAGTATTATGTTTCTGGATGTAATATCCGTTTATAGGATAGGTAATTTTTTCTTAGCCCGAATTATTCACATTACTTGTACCTACATATTATGTTGCAGTATTATTAATAAATTATAAGTAACTAAGTAAGTAGATAGGTACCTACCTATTTACTAGATACGTATTAGGTACCTATATGGCAATGTAGGCTTTATCAAATAATTAATATATAGTTTGGTAACTAATAAGTTATAACTATAGGTACTAAGTTAAATAAATTAAATCAAAATATATTATACAATATTAGTTTAGCCATACGTTTTATTAATTGCAGTACATTAAGAAATAAAGAATAATAATTTAAAAATATGTTAGTAGGTAGGTAGGTTCCTATGTAAAATACTTTTTCGAAGATGTATTATTTTATGTTCACCTAGAGGTGAGATAACTAAGTTCTATAGTATCTTGTATCTAGATATTTTTTCAAATAATAATTTTAATAACATTTTAATAAGTGCAGATTCTTGTATACATATGGATATTCGTCAGTGGCCAGTAGGTATTTTCCAACTATTACCTCCAGACTACAGGCATGCAAATTAGAAAAGCATTATGTATAAAGCATTTTTGAAAAGGCTAAAAAATTGAACCATTGTTAAAAACCCATATACAAACACAGATAATGTTCTAATTTGTAAGCTAACAAAGCTATAAATGATCTGCTGAACACAGAAATAATGCTATTAAAAAATAATTCTAAGATTCTTAATAAAGGCAGTTCAGTAATAATCTATGAATGGTTAATTTGGGTGAAGTCTAATGATCACTATAAATACTTAAACCAATTTTTTAAAGTCATTCAAAAGTTTGTAGTGATCCTAGTAACAAGTTGTACTTGTGAGAGGTCTTTCTCTAAATTGATATAGTCAAATCCAAATTGAGATCTACCAAGAAGCAAGACAGATTGAATGTGTTGATGATATTAACAGTAGTTCTAGAACAGGAAATGGCAGTCAAAGTTAGTGATGATGCTGGAATAGACAATTTAAAAATAGCAGTCGAATTTAAGAGATGAATGTCATTATATTTTTGAGTGAAGTTCAATTAGATTATTTATATTATAAATATATACTTTTACATTTTTATTTTTTTTTATCAACAGTGACAAGTAATGCGGTTATATTTTTATTACATAGGTACTTAAATCTTAATTATTTTTTTAAGATAAAGTGACTATTATAAACATTTTGCCGATTTTATGGATTAGCCCCCCCTCCAGTTATTGTGGTGTGGGCGGATTTAGATTCTGCATACCTTGAACAGTACTTATGGCTCTGCCTATGAGAGTTCATTTGCTATGTTACGCACTTGTAAGACAGGTATAACAAATGTCCGTGTAGTGTCCTCTTAAAATTGCAGATTAGTATTTGTTATAACATGAAATAAATGTGCTTCTAGATAGTATTTTATTATAATTACACAAAAACAAATATGCAAATGTCTAGAAGACTTCTGCCCTACTTATTATAAGAACCGAATACATTTTAAACTGTTTTGAAAATTGGACATACCTGATTGTTGTACTGGACCCTTCAATTATTAAGATTGTAGCCTAGTCATTACAAGAATATGTTTTTTTTTTTAAAAGATGGATTCTTTTAAAACTATTTTCATGGACACATAAACTTGTTTAGTAAATGAAAATATAGGCAATTAGTTTCAGGCCATCATAAATTCTTAAGTTTAACTATTAATTTGTTTAAACTAATTAACCTAATTGGTAATTCATACAAATAGTTTGGTTTGATGTAATTTCTTAAATTGAATAATAGAAATAAGGTTTTATAATTGTATTGAAAAGGCTTAACAAGTGACTATCTACATTAAACACATAATTAAGAACTGTTTCTAAAAATGTTTTTAAAAAAAAGGTTTAAGTGACATGAATTGTGAGAAATTATGAACAATTGGACGATATATACCTTTTTAAGATAATATTTTATCTATTGCTATTTTCTTTATATTAAAAATAGAAAATATTACAATATTCTCTGCAGTAGTTTCACTTGCAATTTACAAGATCAAACATATTAGGAATAATAAGATTCTACTATATTTATATTATTGATGTCTAAACGACTTTTTATAATCTAAGAATTAGTGTCCACTACCTAAACTGACTATTGCAATACAAAAACATCACATAATTATTATTAGCAAAAATATTTTGAAGAACATTTAATAATGCTTTCATGATACATTTATAGGAATATAAATTGATAAACCAACAATATTATAACGATAAACAATCAAAGAATTTTTGATAAATAAAATTCCTGAATAGATTTTAGCTTAAAAATAAATTTTAATAGTGAACCTTGTTTAATGTACTTTTTTTAATGCATAGGTAACAAACATTAATTTTTCTAAAAAGTCCTTTCATACAGTATATAAATATAATTAGTTAAATATCTAATTATAAACAGATTGTTTATAATTATAATATAAGGATTTTTTTATCTAACGAATACAATGTATAAATCATTTTAAAATGTTAAATACAACAGTACTCTAATATAAAACTTATTTTTCTTCATAATGATTACATTGATTATCCATATAAACACTTGACAAAATTATACTCATACACACATGTATGTATATTGTAGATAGTCTGTATGTGTTTACTAATAGAAATTACAAAATATAACAAATGAATACAATTAGATTGCACCTACATTCCACTCTCAGATGTTATAATTCCTATTATGCAAACAAGTATAATTAAATTTTTTTAACATTGAGGCATTTTTAAAACAACAAATAAATAAATTATGTTTATTTGTTAAGCGTAAAAATTTGAAATGCCTCTTCGAAAACCAAATTATATAAATGTGTTATTACCCCTAAATATAATCTATAACTTAAAATAAAATGATGACAAGTAAAATAATTATCAACAACCCGAATAGTCATAGTTTCGAGTTGCATACACCCTAAATCATTGATCACTAGTTGTGGGTTTGAGCTCTTTAATTTGTTTGATCAGATATGCCTTTTCATCATTGAACTGTTCATCTTCAGATCGTTCAGTATGAAATCTTGTCAAGAATTCAACCAGCTTGTCTTGGTTACGAAGCAAAATGTCGAGAATAGGCTTGGGTTTATTAGGATTTGCAACAAACACCTAAAGAAAAAAAATGTGTATATTATATATAAATTATTATATTTCAAATTTTTAGATATTAAAAATTATACCTTAAAAACATGAAAAGCTTCAAATTGGATATTTCTAGATTTTTCTTTTAACATATTCATCATCAATTTTAAATTGTCAGGATTTGATATGTAACGTGTCATTACCTAAAACAAATGATAAAAAACAACTATGTACAATTTCCCTCATTTGGAAATAAATTTGATCATGAATATATCTTTTGAATTGCATGAAAATAATAACTATTTTAACTATACATTATTTACGTGTTCATCAGAGTAACAAGTTATGTCACCATAGCAAGAAGTCTAACAAAAAAGCACCTTACAAATTTAAGGTAGACTCCCTGAAAATGTCAAAAGACATATTTATGTCAAAAACAATACAACCAATTTATAAAAAATTGAATAGTTTATATTAGGGTCAGCAATGTTTTTTATATCAACGTCCAAAAATAAACATAAATTATTCACAGACCACAATTTGAGTATAATTTAAACAAAAATGGAGTCATATCAAATTTGTTTATTAATTTAACAAGGTATCTACAAACCAACAAAATTTTAATATCCACAGTTTCTAGTTCATAATATTGTATAAGTTCTTGATTTGTATACAAATTATAAATTTTAGCTAAGGCCTGTGGGTTGCTGACCCCGGGTTTATATATATTAAATATTTACCGTGAAATTATGACGGTCTAACAATAGTTCACCAAGTAACTTGAGACTCTGGCGACGAGTAACATAATTTTCAGAGTTAAGTAGCTGTTGATAATGTGTAAACACTTTATCATAGTTGATCTCAAGGAATTCAGCACACAGTGGTTTGTGTCTAGTCAGCAATTCCTGTATAACAAAAATAATAATAATAGTAAATAAAGTTAGAAATAAGGATGTTATAAAATATTATGCTCTTTATTAATTAGTTTACAACCTTAAATGTGGAAAATGCATCTGAAGCAATATCAAAAGTTGAAACTTCTACATAACGGAAAAAATTGAAAAATTCTTTCGAGTACAGCATTATTTTTGCTAAAGCTTCATATCTAGCACATTCACGTAACATTGTACCACAGTTAAGAGCTATTTCTTGATGTTCATACCTTTAAATTATAGTTTTGTTATTCATACAATTATTAGTAGGCTCTAATGACTTAAAATAAAAATCATAATTAGGTATTTACTCCTAATAAAAATAAAAATAAATTTATTTTTTAGAGATAGGAGAATGTTTACTTTCAATATTAGGTCACCAAATCATGGTTAACAGATTATTAGCTCACAGTTGATTAGATAAATGTTGAGTGATTGTTCATGCAACTGTGCAATAATCTGTGAAATTATTTTTTCCATAGTTAAAACAATAAAGCCATAATCTTTGGATGATCTTTCAGATGACAGAATTTATATAGAATATTTTATTTTTATGTTTTTGAGTAATCTTAGGGTAAAATAACAATTTTTATTTCGAAAGTCATATAATAGTAAAATATAAAACCGATACGTCAAACCCTCAAAAATATTGTCCTCTATAATTTTGATATTGGTAGTTTTACTCTAATATCACCCTAAAATCATAAAAAAACGATTTTAGATGAAAGCATTATATCTATTGTATAATATGGTCTGACAGAGAAAACAAATATTGCAATGACATCCACTCAACATTTATATTTCTAAATAGTATTGGATAATGTCATAATTTTATGAAGTTCAATATTTACAGTAAAACTATGAATCATTTTAATAGCAAAAATGGAAATACTCTTTTATAGTAGATAATAAAATATATCTACTGGTATGAGATAATAACTATTTTTTTAGGTTTTGTGCTAAGCAAGGAATATATTCAATATAGTTTTTTTATTTTCAACACGAAGTTCATCTAAGGACTCAGGCTAACCTGTTTACACTAGAAAAATGGATCCAATTCTGAATTGTGATTTTAAATTTTCTTACACTTTAATATAACACGCAATTAACCAGTTTTATATACAAAATTAAATACTATAGTAACATCTTATGATTATTAAAAATAAATGTAACTCCAAAAATGAGCTTTTAAAATAAGGACTTCACTAAAACTTTAATATTTTATGGAGAAAAAAATATTTTAAAACTCCAATAATAGCAATTCATTATAGAATAATTCGTTTCATTTTAGCTGAGATATCCAACAAGTAATAAAACAATAAAAAATTTAGCACCTCAAGTTAAAAAATATTTGAACATTTTTAACACACCATTATATTAATTTCATTAAGAAGATACCATATCCGCATTTGTTGTCTCTGTCTTACAAGTGCACAACTTAGAAAATGTAAGCTCAGCAGATAGTTAGCTCTGTTAGTTTAAAAATTTGAGTGAATCAACCTATTATGAAACTTGTTGGTATTTTATGACAGTTCAATTTTTAAGTGAATTATGAACATTTTAAATTAATAGCTATTTTATACACACACAACTGAGCTATCGTTAATAATCAACATTGGAACACAGATAATGGTCTTACCATCAAGTTTCATAATAGGTCGATTTATTTTGAATTTTAAGCTAACAGAGCATACATTTTCTATGTTATACATTTGTAAGAAAGAGGCAACATATGCGGGTATGCCGTTCTCTTAATTTACCTAGTGCCCGCAAAAACAGGGAACATGTTATCACTCATTGACCTTAACATAATTTTTAATGCTGATGATAAATTAATTACTTTTTATTTATTAGTATTTTATTTATCGAATAATTCGTATTTGTAATTTCTGTAAATTAAATTGTTAAAATAAATAAATTAGAAATTTAGAATTTTGTGTTCTGAAAATACATGTTTTTATAAAAAATTATTTAATTTTATAATGTGTATAAATAAAATACTAATTTATAAAAAGTAATTAGTTTATTACATTGACCATAACAAATTTAATTGTATTATGGTGTTTAGAAGGAAAAAATGAGTACAATAAAAATAAAATAAAATTTAGCCAATTTTTTTTTAAAATTATACCTATCTCAAAAGTTCAATTAATTAATTGGGATACGAGTTACCTAGACTCGACTGTATATGAAATATTTATGAACATTGATTTGGTAGACCTCAAGATCTGTATTTGAATTATGTTTTAAAATAAATACACCTAATACTAACATATACATAATAACTTACCCGGCAATAAGAGTAAACAGAATTTCAGATTTTGCACAGATATGTTCAACAGTAGGTGATCGGCTACCCAATTGCCGACGAAGAACATTGTTAAAAACTTGAGCAACATCTTTTTTGCCCTGTAATGTTAAATAATTAAATGTAAATTAATTTATTTGAATACATTTATTACGCCTGTTTAAATTACATACTTCAAAGTCTATTTTTGTCAAATTTTGTACCAACATCAGCAATAAGTTGTTGTTGTACATTTCTTGCGCTAACTGAGCAACAACAATATCAGACAGTGGCTCAGTATCTGCAGTTCCATATAGTAAATTTTTTATCACTAAAAGGTTCTTGCTAACATCTTCCTGTGCCTGAAATAGCATAATTATAAACAAAATTAATATAATCATGTAATAAAAATGTATATATATTAGTAGTTCAATAAAATGAATTAAAATTATACTGAGAAAACCCAACAGTAAATTAAATTATTTGTTATTAGTATTTAATTTACACAAATTGATATACACTTTGATTTCTATGTTAACATTTAGTTATCTAATAATGTTCAATTAAACCCATAGGGTATCACATGAAATATAATATAATCCATCATATCAATTGAAATAGAGAAATTATTTTAAGACATTTATATTCTAAATAATAAAAATACACAAATAACTAAATCAAGTACATGGCAAACATGAAAACTAACAAATTAAATGCATAATATTAATCAAAATACATAAGAATATTACAAAAAATATAAATTGTTATACATTTTGACTGAAGAAACAAAATAATATAAAATTAATTAAATACAATTTTAAAGTTAAAATATACTTACTTTTTCTAACTTTTTATCTCCTTTTTCTAATGCAACAACAGCTTCTTTTATTTGTTTTACTACCTCCACTGGATTTTTCTGTGATTTTCCAAATAACGGCATGTTTCTAAAATAAATAATACGATTCATATTAATGAAAATTAACTAAATATAACAACAATATTATTATTTATACGCAGTTGATAGAAATAATAAATTATAACAAATAAATGGATCACACTAAATATTTTTATCGCATTAGGAACCATGTTAATAAATAAGACCATAGTCTCTAAAAAAACAATGCATATATGTAAAGGTATATTATCATAATATAGTGTTACAGCAAAAACAAAATGATGTATAATTAAGATAAGAGTTTTAAACATTATTGATGTTATCTTTGAATATTGTAGAACATTTTATTATATTAGGTACCTACCTGTTATCTCTCTGTAAATATTACTAATTTAAAAGTATTAATAATGAAAAATAATCATTAGGAATAATAGATTTGTTGATAATGGTTTTGGTTTTGTATTGTATGTTTATCATTTTAAATCATTTCTAATATAAAAGCGTACACATTTTATTCATTTAAAATATATAACAAATAAAAACTTTTTAACAATTATCTAGTAAATAGAGGGTATGTTACACAGCTTGGAAGAAATCCAAATGCGCTTATTAACAGAAAAATTACTATAAGCTAAGTTGCTTAACAAATAAATATTATTAGAAATAAATAATTTAATAAGAATCTAAAAATTAAAATGTAAATTCCATGAATGAGCATGATAAAACAATTGATGAAATACAAGTAAGGTCTTAAAACAAGCTATTTTCATTATTGTTAGAATAGATAGTTTCACAATAAAGAATATTTTTTTATAAACAACATTTATAAAATGTTTTCATATACTGCTGTAATGTTATAAAATAATTAACTATTAGATTTTAACATTAAGGTGATCAATTAGGATACATAATAGAAAAATTAATATAAATAGAGCACTATAGATGATAATATAATTTAAACTTGAATTATTTAGTTATTTAGATATTGTTGAAGTTAATTCTAAAATGTTGTATGCATTTATATTTTATATTTTATTTAAAGATCTGTTGTCTTGTTATACAACTAAGCTTTGAGCTGTTAATAAACATATTAATTATAATATGTGGCGTTAACCTGACTAGCTTTTAATTAAAGCGAAGGGAGGTGAGTTATTATAGTTGGATTAGTGAAAGTTCTGGAATTCTAATAAGAAAATTATGAATTAAAAAAAATCGATTAGCACTACATAGTATAATGGACCCAGTTAAAGATGACTATGCTAAAAAATACCTGTGTACTCATTCCAAATCATTTAAAACTGTCTCGTTATTAACAATTCAGAAATGGCATTTAATATGTATATTGTTTGTACCCAATGGCACAAAATTCCACAGAATGTATACAACATATTAAGAAAAGAAAATCTAAGACAACAGACATGCTTTTTTAAAAGTAGTAATTACTATTGAAATGACCGCTAACCACATAACAATAGTCAAAGATGTTACTAATCCTAGATTGTGGGCCGGTTTGCACACACCATTATTTATCTAAGTATATACAGGCAAAAAATGTAAACCCTAAAGCACATTGATTAAGTCATCACTGGAATGCCAACAAGCTAGTGAGAAATGTGTAATCGCCAGAGGGCCACACACCGTTGCAGACTCATCACCTTTGCTTACATGTATATGCTTACCGGCAGTTCAAAAATGGTGGCCTACCCAACCTAAGTACATTACACTCACCCGGCTAACATAAGACGTGTGGTATGCAGGTGGTATGTGTTTGGTGATGTCTTGAATGCAATAATAGCGACTTGCGTCTCCGGTGGTCGTAGAGTCCGTTGGTTGGAGCTCGCGCGTATACGTTACAGCGGTTCAGATGACACAACTTCAACAACAACAACAACAACAACAACAACAATATAATATTATTATTGCAATCAACTTGTCGATGATGTCCGTGGGCAATATCGCACCATCCGCAAGCGATACCGTAGACGATGGCTTTTAATGTACTTAACCGAACTGTACAACAATACGATCGCCAATATTATTATTATGTAGGTGTATTATTAGGAGAGAGAGCGAGCGTCCTTCCGTAATCTGTTGTTGTGTTTACTAATCACGTCCTGCAGTCGACGAGTGACGGCGATAACATTCAAATGTGTACAATTGTATTATTATTATATTACGTGTGCCTATGAAATATTATTATTATTTATTATTATGATTAACTGTAGTGCACTCACACTGTTATGCAGTACAATATTATTATTACTATTATTATTATTATTATTATTATTATTATTATTATTATTATTATTATTATATCGGTGTATAGAGATACGTCCTGCTATCGGCTTACACATGCCAAATATTTTCGTTGAGATGTGCACGCGCGCGCCTGCGCGTGTGTGTGAAAAATGTGTTTGGTAAAATGCGTGCGTGCGTGTGCGTGTGCGTATTCGTGTTTAGTGCACAGTGCACACTGCGCACTGCACAGCAGGCCTTAGCAGCACTCTGCAGCAGCTGTCGTGTTGTTATCATTAGTAAGACAAAATACAAATTAAAGTTCATTAAAATATTATGTTTCTCCATCGCTCACGTCGCACGACATTATTATTATCTAATTATTGTTATTATCATGATTCATGAGTATGTGAGAGATGAAGGGGAGGCTTCGAGAAAATAACAATATTATGATGGAACGAGACGTGCATTTGTCACTAATAAATGACTTATTATTAAATATTAAAAATTAATTACTATACCCCCTCTCCCCACGACCCCACCACATTATCTAAACTGACCAAATCATAGAAATGATATTAACCATGGACCAAACAGACAATAATGAAAAGATGCGGAACTATCATGTGTTTTTTTAATAAGGAATTTTTATTTATGTGTCTATTCCCGGTGGGCGGTACTATTATTAATACTTTATAATTGGGAAGAGCTAAAAAGATTTAGGGCATGTTGTGTTGCTGTTAAAATGGTAAATCTAGCAAAAAAAAATTCCAGTTATAAATATAAAAAAATCAGATAAAATTTAAAAAATAACCAAGTAAATAATTCAATATTAGTAAAAATTGTGGGAAAATTCATAAAAAATACCCAATAAATGGTTATTTTGATTTTTTTTAAATTTTGGACACAGTTAATAATTGAACTTAGAAATGTCCAATACATTGTTTTTTTTGTTAAATGCATTATTTTTGATATTTTGCTAAATAATTGTTTTTACAACCAAAAGTTTTCTAATATTATACTTGTAGCACACGATTTTACTTCAGTTCTACAATTTTAATTTGTACCTACATATATTTTTATACAATTTTAACATATGACCAAACATTATCAAAAGTATCTAGTTACATTTATACATTTTAATTTTGAACTACATAATTATAATCATTTTATACAATTTAGACTGTTTATTTTATAATATACATCTCATATATACTCACATAAACATATTAATTAGATTATCTATTTTCATTTTTAATAATAAAATTATTATCCTTTTTACAATTTAGACATGTGACCAATTCACATATTATTTTATAATTAAATACTAATATTATAATGTATATCAATAATATTGTCTATATAAATTGTCCACTAAATAAGCTATACATTTTAAAATATACATTTTTTTTTTTCAAACAAATTGACAAATACATATAACAGATTCGATTAACCTCTCTCCTTTAAGCTAGGCTTGTGATGAAGAGAGGGAGTTATTGTAGTTATAAAATTTAATAATATATAATATAATATAACAAAACGTATACTAATATGATATGTTAATATAATAGACTATGAAATAAAGTAATATAATGAGAATAATGAGAATATATAATATGATCTACAAAAGAAAAGAAAAATACATACATAAACACTCAACAATTATAAAAGCATAATACATAGTAAATAAATTTAATAAAGTTATAACATTTCAAAGTTTTATAAACAAAGAAAAATGAAAATACTTTACATACATAACGCGTTCTTCTCTAATTCCAAAAATAAAAACTTGTATACCACATATTTAATATTAATAGTATCACCCATTATCACATTTTTTTAAAATTCATACGGCATAGAATTAAAAATTGTCGGTCCCAGATAGTCTACAAAAGACTGTCCAAAAGATTTATTGGTGTATATAACAGGAAAGTCATAATTTCTAAATTCTCTTTTTTTATCTAAATTATTGTAGTGATTATCTCGTCTAACATGTTTCAATAAATGCATTATTACTATTTTTTTGTAAAGTTAAGGTTACCTTACCAGTAAAACACCAAATTCCATGTAATTTACTTTTGTAGATCCCGTAACTGTACATTTATTTAGACAAATTCTGATTAAATTATTTTGATTAATAATTGTTAATGCATTTAGTATGTTATCTTTAAGGCCACCCCATACTAATATACCATATTGGAAGTTAGACTGATACAGTGCATAGTAAATTGTTCTTAATGTTTGTTTCGGCACCATACATTTAATTTTTACTAGCTTGTAAGTTATAAAACGTAGTTTATCTAATAGGTTGTTGATGTGTAAATTCCATCTCAAGTTCTTATCGAATATAATACCCAAGTATCGAATTTTTTCCACTTTTTTAATAGATTTACAATTTTGCGAGTCACAGATTTTGTTTGTATCACAGTCATGAATTGTTATAATATTGTAATTAATATCATTTTTTTTAATTGAGAACGGCATGAAAACAGTTTTTCCCACATTTAAGATTAGATTTCTATCTTTTAATCTGTTATTTATCTGTCTAAAACCTTGGTGTGCTTTTTCATACACACCATCCCAAGTCTTATGAGAAAAGAGCAGACATGTATCGTCAGCGCCCAGCGGTCAGCATAAGTGATTATAGGAATGCCGGAAAAAAAGTCCCCGTTAATAAAATCATACGAAAAAACATGATTGTTACGTAATTATTACAACATTTAATAATTATATGTTACAGGTATATAGGTATATTTTAAGTTACAAACAATTTTACAAAATTATGTGTTACAGGTATAGGTATGTATAGTCAGGAAAAGTCATAGAAAAAAAATACACTTATTACAAATTTAATCTGATTTCATTCTTATATTATGCCCTATATTTGTCAAGAAGATATCAACGCTCAATTCTCCCCTATTAAATTGTTCGCATCAATTTTTTAATCGAGTTTGCATTATATGCCCTTTATGTGGTCGCTTGTAAGTTAATTGCCCTATTTCACTCAATGTTAATTTGGCGTTATCTGCAGACCCCACTTCGTTTTTCATATTTTTCAATAATTTCCAAATCGATGGATTTTTATGCCCAACCAAATGATTAAACCTATTATTCCAACCTTCACACACGTTGTTGGTTCTACTACTATCCAGTAAGGTATACTTTGGTGCACATTCCACGTCGGAGGAAGGTATTGAGGAGGAAGTCGACGAAACCGAATACATAAACTGCATCAGTTCCTATTCTACGCAAAGGACAACTTACATAAACCGAATCAAAATAATCAACTAAGTCTTCCGCGTCTGGAGGAACAACAGTTTTAAGATAATCCATTCCTTCTTTGACGTGACTTAGTGGGAGAAAAGCTAAGCTATCTAACATAGCACAAAAATGGTTGAAATTTTCGTCTGTACGATATTTAGTCTCTAAACCTAATTTTTGTATATGCCTATGAGTGCTTTGGCATAAATGATAAAAACAACCCATTATTGTTATGTGACTACCAATAATATTTTTAAGAGCATTAATAACAGCTTTTTCGAAATCTAAATGCACTTTAACGTCTTTAACTGGGTCGGGGTAATATTTACGTTTATTACATTCGTTCAAAAGTATTGTGAACATATGTTCATACGTCGATTGTGTTTTTCTTTGTAATAAAGAATAAATTGCAGTTAAATACTCACAATTGTGTTTTATACGAATAATATACAACTGTAAAAATTTTTTAGGTGCTAGTCCAAAAGTTCCATCCATATACCACTCTTTAGATTGACTCAATAAATGTATCATGTTGTCGGTACCAAACATTATAATCCTCTTATTAGTGTTTTCAGATTTATTATCATATAAAAGAAAACGTTGAGTATTCACTATTCCATAAAGACCATTCTCCTAAAATGTATGTATAAAAATGTAAATACATTATTATGGAATTTTATTTTTATAAATATTAAATTTATACCTTCAATAATTAAATCGTTAATATCTGTTGGCTCGACAAGGTTATTTCCACTTTTTTGCATTCTGATAGTTCGTTTTATTGATTCTTCTGTAGGCATTTTCATTAAGACTTGTTTTGGTATTTTGTTAATTACTTCGTTGAAAATTTGACCAGGCGTAGAACCAGAAACCTTGGAAATTTCTTTTATTTCAGCTTTAGATTTTACGGCTTCGATATTATTTTGGTCGGCTGCACGGTTATGCTCGTGATGAATACTTAGGACTTTGTTTTTGTTTATTGTTGTTTTTAATACAACTGGACACTTAAAACAACTACTTTTTATACATTTCCACCGAATAAATTGTTTACAATCTTTGTGTTTGGTGTACATAAGGTGTAGGTACACTATCCACTACGGCACTACCCATACCTATAAGATACGTGAAAATATTATTTATATTACGTTTATTTCGTAAATTACCCAGGTAATATACTAATATATTATATAAATTGAAACTTACTCATAATACCTATACCATATAATATATTGTTGTATAATAATAATTACTTATAATCATGTTTTTCATATGATTTTATTAACGGGGACTTTTTTTCCGGGGACTTTTTTACCGGCCCGTAAGACTTTTTTTCCGTTTACCGATTATAGATCCATCAATATTAACTTCACATATATCATATATATATATATATATATATA